ACTGCAAATTGCAATTTAAACCATGATCTTCACTGCAATGGCTAATGAGAATTCTTCTGCGATATTAACGCATAGAACTATGAATTAGACATTAATATCTTACAGATTTTCTGATTTTTAAGTCTAATTACCGAAAAAGCAAACAATAAATGAATAATACTTTGTAGTTAATTCTTTTGTAGACAATTTATGTTCTAAACGAAATGGATTTGCACGTTTTGTGCAATTTAAAGCTAATCTAAGTGAATAAATCATATTAAATCCAATTGCTAGCTCTATTAAACGCTTAAAGTGACTGTTATGTTACATTATTCATGTTTCATGGCTCTGTTAGTACCATTTATTCAACAAAGTCATACACCTTGATAGTTATAACGAAACGAAAGAAATAAAGATTGAGTTTGGAAGTCTTTCGATGAAATCTCTGTTCAGTCTACAAAGTTACTCGATTGTGTCTCACTTTTTGATCGGATAGAAGTTACTTTGTTGGGTTGCAAAAATAGATGCCTCATAGTCAAAGCTTAAATGATGGGAAATATAATGCACAATGCAAATGCTGAAATGGTAAAAGTAAAATACTAGAATTGATCAAGAAGGCGATCAAGATGTTGTTAAACTATTAGAAAAATGACATAATTTAGCGTGCAATAAAACGGTTCATGTTAATGTTGTGTTTACATTTGATGGGGCGAAAGCTAAGTGTGTTAGGTTTGAATTACTCCAGTCTTATGGCCTAACCAGACTACTTACGATGCAAAATATGAGCAAGACGATCAAGGTGATGATCAATATGCTTCATCATATTTTACCACCAAAGCTTGCTCGAAGATGATATCAAGGATTACTTATCCTCCTGGTCAACGCTTTTGTTTCGTTATGTCAATCATTGCAAATCACTTAAAGTTTTCAATAACTTTTCTGGACTAAATAGCAGGCAATAAGGTTGATATTCACAATTGTTAGTGTATATAACATTTGCTAATTCAAATGCTAAGTTTGTGAACTAAATCTAAACTATTTTGACTTTAGTTTTTGTTAGCGTTGAGAATGAGTTCAGAAGAGAAACTCGATGCTTAGAACTGTTCAATTTATTGTCTAAATCTTGCCGAATCAAACTGATTTCATTGGATAATATTGGATGAAAAGTGAACACAAAACTGTGCATTAACTGCTAAAGTTCATCTTAAGTCTAAATTTGGCTGTTGAATCAATAAAGGTAAAGAAATATTGAATTAAATTTGCTATCAAATTACAATAATGAAAACCAAAACAACTGAAAGTTGTACCATTAATAGCGATAAAAAATATAATAATGATGATAATAATGATTGAGCAAATGAGTTAAAACAAAAATCATTTACTGATATAATAATTTGCGTCAATTAAAGGTGCAAAGAAACCAGTTATGTGACACCTTATCAACTATCAACAGATGACTTTATTATCTCAATATTATTATTATTGCAACTATTATTTCACTCCCAGTCAGCTATCATTTTGCCATCCAAATAACAATATATAACTTGAGAGTGTTTCTCATCATTTTCATTGAGCACTCTTTTAATGGCCATTTATTGGGATTGACTTATTCTCATGATAAATATAAACAATATTAGCAAGTTTCCTCTCTTTCCAGGATCCATCTTGTTCATCTAATAGCAATAATAATAATAATAATAACTAAATGCAAACATAAAAACAAGCAAACGTTATTAGTGTTCATCTTCAAATTTCAGTCTTACATTGATTATTTTTTATTTATAACAATATTGGCAACTCAAACAGATAATAATATTATTCAATGGTTTTCAGCTGTATTTGCAAATAATATTAACTCAGTCTCACATGGGAACGATAAAATGGTTCAAAATGTTGAACATAAAAGTGACAAAATAAATACTAATTTATTGATCATCGGTAAGGCAAAGAATCGAGAAAAATTCACCTTTTTCCAATTTCTGATTAAAGGTAACGATTGATTGAAATTTTGAATCTTTTTTTAACTCCGATGCAACATATTGAGTTGACTTTTTTGAGAGTTACCTTTTTTGCTGTTGATTAATTACCATTTGCTGTTTATTGAATGTAATTAAAATGCAATTAGATTGTGAATTTGAAGACATGAAAGACTATCGATTGAGGAGGAAAAGAGTGAAAACATTGAAACATCTCGGAATAATGTATTGCAATTAGATTGGAAACAATGTTACAATGAAAATAAGGAAAACTGAAAGTAAGTCTTTTTCCACTCAATCTTCCCTCATCCCTATCATCATGAAAGATGAAGAGGAAAATGATGATTCCATTGCCACTTTAAGCCCACTTTTTTTACTCTCTTTCCCGATATTGATTTCACTCTTTTTTTTCTTGGTTAACTTTCTGGTCTAACCAATTAATAAAGACATCAATCTTGTGAAGATGAAAATTTTGAAATGACAAATTTATCTTCTTCTTCTTCTTCCTTAGTCATCAGCCATTTTCATCATTTTCATCCTTTCTGTTCAATTTATGATCATTATTGATCCAAATGTTTTTTACCATTAAAAATGAATCTTTTTTTTTCGCCGATTTCAGAGTTTCCATTATTATTTCAATTATCTTTTAAACTTAAATGGTTTTAAATGTAACCTTTTCACCATTCAAACATCAAGTGTTGCATGAAATTGAAAGGTGAACAGTACAACTGATCATCTGCTTAGGATTCAAGTAATGATCAGTTGAAATGTAGATAACAGTGTTGGCGAAATAATCATTGGAGAAAAATTTAAATTTCAGATTTAAATGTTTATTCCTTTACTGAAACTATCTGATGATCATGAAGGATAAAGATGAAAAAGGAACAATTTTTTATTCTTCTTTTCGATTCTCAATTTGAATATTTTTGACTTAAACGCTTTCCAGCTATTTTTCAACCCTCAAAGTGCTCATAAAATTGTCAAATTGTTATCATGTCAAGTTGATATAAAAACAACTTTTAAATCTTTAAGCTTATTCAAATATCGCAAGTCAAGGTAAAAACCATTTATTTGTATTATAACATTAAACATGAAAATTCACTTTTGCTCAACAAAAATGATTATCAAAAGGCAAACTTGAAACCATTTGTTATCAAGTTAACTGTTGACTATTGACTGAACAGTTGATACTCTTTCCCATAATGAACACATTTTCATGGCTTGAAACACCAACAATTGAATAAAATGTTTTCCCTGAAAAATGTTTCGCTTTTCTCTGTAGAAGAAAGATTGAATTTAAAAATGATTCAAATTTCAAGTTTAAATATTTCTACTCCTTTACATACCTTCAATTCATCAGAGCAAAAGTTGAATCTTTAAACCCTTTTCCAGTTTGCAGACTAAACAGACTTCATCTTCATCCTGATCGCGTTCCCAAGCAAGACATAAAAACATTGAATGAGAAGAGAAAAAAAAGTAAATGAATTGATTCAACAAACATGGAAAAAAACGATTCAATCTTTTATATAACATTAAACTCTTTGGAGCAGCAACATGCATTGTTATTAAACCCTTTTTTTACGGAAACCTCTTTGAATCCAGTTACCTCGCTCTTTGCTCACCCACAACAATCAATGAAAAAACAATATCAAACAATAATATCCTTTTCAATTACAATAATATCTGATTGTTATCAAACATTAAAGTTAAACCTTGAAGGGAACCAGAAAAAGCAACACACATTAAGGTTCACTGATGAATAGGAAAATGTGAAACAAAAAACTGGAAACTGGTTTCACAGTGTAAATGATATTGTCAAAAACAAACGTTCAAATGTAAGGGGTGTTAACCCACCCACCAAACAACCAGAGATCAAAGGGTTGCCAGACAGTTACACTTTCAACTGTAACTGGATAAGGTTCAGATATTGTTGGCTTTTTTGCGTCTTCAAACCTCTTTGTTGGTCCATTGTTTTCCAGATTCAATGTCGATGATTATTATTATGTGGTGGTGATGTGAACAGTTTTTTGTCTTCATCTTCTTCTTCTTCTTCTTTTTCTTCTTCCTCTTGTGACAATTTTCATTGTTGTTCAATTGTGAGTTGATGTTGTTGAAAATGTTATGGGTTAAAATGTAATCAAAAAAAAGATTCACATTGTTTTGTCTTCGCTTTTTTGCTGCACACTTTAGTGAGAAATTTAATTAGATGAGATTCAGTTGAAACTATGTTGATTAATTAATTGATTAACCGAAGAATCTCACTTTAATTTCCTCCTTTTTTTGTCTCCATCTTTTTTCAACTCTTGACTTTTTTGTTGATGACTTTTTTTAATTTTCATTTGTTATCATCTTCTTCTGCACCTTCATCAACCATCTTTATATGAAGATGAAGTCTTTTTTCATCATTTTAACCTTCTTCTCCTTCTTCATCATCTTATATCAAATGTATAAACATTTAATATCAATCAAGTTAATAGGAGTTGAAACTGAATGTTGGGTTACCTTCAAGTTTAGGATAGGAAAGTTAAAGGATTTTACAATCCAATTGTTTCACAAATTAATCAATAAAAGTTATCATTAACAGCAATTAATTGCTGTTTTTAATCAACAAACGATTATCAAAAACGAAACAAACGATCAACTTTTCTTTCCACTGAACCTTTCCTAAAGAAGGAGGAGATTTTTTAGAGTAAAAAGTAATAATTAATTGTAAATTTTTTTCTTCTTCATCATCTTCATCATCTTCAGTGTATTAGACAATGCTAGCTCATCCCATTTCATTGCCGCAAGGTGAAGATGATGATGATAAGTACAAGAGGTTTGCTGGTAATAATAATTTTAACAGAGGTTAATAGGATGATGATGATGATGATTACAGTGATTCTCAGAGTTTTTCATTTAATATCAACCTTTTGCTCGTTTTTTGTTCCTTTTTTTTGTTTAAAAGTTACTTTTTTTCATAAAAATACCCAAAAATATTAACTTAATACTTGGGTTACATTGTAAAGAGGCGTTTAAAAGCAAAGGTAATAATATCAAAATTAATTGATCTATGCAAGACATTTAGCTTTTTTAATTTATATCATAAATAATATATATTAACGTTTTTCAACTGACATGTTGAGATTGGGTTTTGTATTCTGGTTCAACAAGCTTTTAACTTGTTGTCTTATATTCACAAAATAACATTAAATATTGTCACTGTTTATCCAGAAAGTAGTTAAGACATTGTCTATTAATTAAATTAATAGACAATGATAAATGGAAACAAATGGTGAGTTAAATTAGATTAGTTTTTTAACTCCTTCCTTTTTCATCATCTGTTTGCTGATTGACGTTTAATTGACTTTATTTGTAGCTAGTTGAGTTTGTTATAACTGATGATTAGTTGATTCAGCTTACTGTTTTGTTTCTTGTTGCAAAAAGAGAAACTAAACAATTACAGTTTCTTAATTGTTGTTAGGAACCGCTCCTTATCTGATTCTGTTGTTTATTTTGTTAAATAACAAAACAACTAACCAGAAGTTAGATTAATAAGATGATGATGAAGATGAAGTTTTGTTTCTTGTATTACATTTGCTAAAACATTGTGTTCATCTTTATCATCTTCACTTTCTCATCTGTCTTGAAGTAAACTTTCAACTCCTCCTACCCCTTAAGATGATGATGAGGAAGAAGTGAAAACATTTGAAGACAAATAGGTAAAAGGAGGAGAAGAGAGAAAAAAATAAGACGGAGAAGAAGATGATGAGAGGGAAGATTGAAAAGGGAGATTAACTTTGCTGTGTTTATATCCGCAAGGTAAAGTTGCTGTAGTAGCCTGTCACATTGACTAAATCAAGTAGAAACACATTAGCACCAAATAACTGGTATCAATTTCACGGTTCATAATACTAATCAATTGTTCATATTCTTGTTAATTTTGTTACACACAATCAAGGTGGGCCAACGAACCATCAGAATCCATTTATTAACCAGCTACATGGAAAAAAAGAAGAAACACAAATCAATATCTTAACCTTTGATAGGTAAACCCTTGTGTTTGATGTAACTAGAAAATAGACAATTGACTTTCTGAGCTTATTTACAGACCTTTTCTTCTAAATGGCTGAACTTGTTAAATCAATATAATTGCTAATGAACCAGAAGAATCCACCATCAGGATTTATCCTATGTATCTCGGTCTAAAAAGGGTGCAAGCAAAACAAAAAGATTCACATAAGAAACATTATCTCATTGAGACATCGATCTAGAATAGGTCAAGAAAATTTTGAAATGTCTACTTACTTCAAGGCCACTAATTAATCAGCAAGGTAAATTAAAACACCAAAACGATTGATTAAATTAAATTCAAACAGTTTTCTCAATTGTAAATAACAAATATTGCAACTCATTTTTAAGGCTATTCTTACTAATTATGCGGTGAAATAGCCATTATCGTTATTCTTACTGTCAATCTTATTTTAACTCTTACATTTGTTATTCAATAATCGTTGCTTTATCATCATTTTACAATTTAATTGTGTATCGTATTTGCTAAATTATTAACTCAATTTGATTCTCCTTCCCTTGTTTATGTAAATAATTGAGCTGATAATTTGAAAGCTGATTGTTTCTACCATTTCATAGGCCTTTAAGATTAATAGTGTCAAGTGTATTGTAATTTATCTTGCCCAACCATTTCAATGGAAATGCTGCTGCCATTTTGACATTATATTTCTCTGCATTATCAACTTTAACCGGTTTATTGTGTGTTTAGTAAAAACAATATGCTGATATTATTGTTCAAGTATTACTATTTATATAAATAAATATGGCTGTATACATTTATTATATAAATAGATGTATGTGTATATCAACAGTGAGAATAAAAAAACAAGATACAGTTTAATGGTGAAAAAAAGGAGGAAACAAAAGGATGAGAAGGAGGAAAAAACGTTCAACTTTGAGTATTAAGCTTTAATCATTGATCTTTTCTCAATCCTTTTATCATTCTCACCTTCATCATAATCATCTTCTCGCCTCTTTCCATCACCATCATCACCATCATCATTATCACTATGCAAAATCATTCCAACCCAATGAATCTTCTTCTTATTCTTTTTCTATTCACACTTTTTTTTCCTGTGATTTTTTGCTTATTAATGAAAAGAGATACACTTTTTTGGTTAAAGCAAATTTTATTTTGACAAAAGGTAAGCTTATTGAGAAAGACAAGAGTTGAATCATTTTGGTAGGGAAAAAAATATAATAACTAATGTAAAAACATATTGCAAAGTAATATGAAATTGCAGATAGAAAACTGTAAATCCTCTTGTTCAGTTTGTTCATTATTAATTTTATTTTCACCCAACAACTTCCATTACAACAATCATTATTTCATGACAATGTTAATTGTTATAGTATCAGTCTTATTTGCTGGTGAAATGATCAACTCAACAGCTTTCAACTTTTAAAATTGCATCTTCCCTCGACTAAGTCAATCTTTTACTAACTACGTTTTAACTCCAACTCTAATAGTCCTTAATGATTATTTAGACACTCTTCTTTGAATAAGTTGCCTTGTTAATTAACTCTGGTTGAGAAATTGTTCTTGAAACAATTCTGTTTCTTTTGCGTGTTGATTTAAACATTACTTAATACCCAAAAGATGATTCCATCTTGATCATGATGAACAATATTGTTTTCAATGTTTCATTGCCGCAAGCTTTTTACCTTGATAATGATTGAATATCTAACAATTTCATAATAAGAATGACCTGAACATTAATAATTTTAGAAGGGGAAAAAGCAAAGGAAAAGTGAAAATACATCATGAAATTGATGATAGCTTTTGCTGGGTGAGATGAAGTTTAACAATAGATTTATAACATAGTTTATCATTTAATGGTGGACAAGTCAAGTTTATCATCGCCATTATTAACAACATGATCGGTAACCATCAAACCATTGATTTGATGTACAATCAATAATAATGGTTGAGATGAAAAATTATCTTGTAACCGTTAAATTACGGAAACGTTGAGATAATGAACAAAAAAGTAAACATTTTTTACAATATTGAGTTAACTGATGAACAACATATTCATCCTTGTAATAGCCACAGAATCACAATAATCAATTGAAATGAGAATAACAATTTAAAGGAGAATCGATACATCGATAAGAGACTCTAGAGACAGTTTAATTTAGTTACAATGCCAGAGTCATTTGATTACATTTGATTGTTGGGATACATTACAAAGTATTGGGTTGACATTGAAGGTTGATGGACAAATTTTTGGTTTCAATATTGATCCAATTTTCAAGTCAAACAATTGACTTGAGCGTTTCCACCAAATATTTTTATTAACAATAACAACAATCAAAATAAAAGCTTATTAGTTTCAATGTTATTTTGCGTTATGCTTTAGTTTTAAGTGGTAAAATCATCATCTTAAAGTTAAACTAAAGATATATAAAAAAACAGAAATAATAAGTCTGTGAAACTGAAAATTTGAGATAAAACAGAATAAACTAAGTCACTTAACTGTTTTTTTCTCATCTCTCTGCTTTTATTAAGCTTTTATTTTTACTCTCATCATTCTCATCCATCTTGCTCCTCTTTTGATTCTGTAGTATCACTTTTAATAATATACAAGATTGTATTCACAAGAAACAGAGACCAACTCATATTGTCTCCAATTCATCATCCTTTTGCTATCTTTTTTTATATAAACTGTATATTTCTCTGCATATTCGTGCTCTTCTCTTCCTCTCTTTTTTTCTTCATTATCATCAACACTCATCTTTTTAATTCTCATCATCATCTTCTGTTTGGTTCTTCAAACAAACAATTCAACTTTTTTTTATAGCTTTAAATTTGATGAAACCAGTTTAACGGTGTGATTTGGTGACATAAGAATTATCCAGGAGGAAGAGAGAAATGGAGAGAAGGAAAACAATCAACTTGAGCAAATCTCCACAAACACTGAAACTGTCATGGAAAGTTTTGTTTAAACTTGAACAAACCCAACGATTCTCTCTCTCTCTTGGCTTGATAAATGTCAATTAGTTTGGAGTGGTAGTCTCTTTGGTGATAATGGTGAATGTTGAAAGAAAAATGGAACAAAATGAGACGAAAAGATTATGATAGTGGTATAAAAAACACCTCCAAAAATCTCTCTTAATCTGTAAACATATCATATGTATTTGCTTTTTATCACCTCCTAAGCCTTTGAATCCTTCATTGTCTCTTTCGCTTATTTGTATGTAATGTGCAACAACATTTAACACCGACTAAAACTGTCAACAAAATGGAGAAACTTCGTTTTTTGCAAGTCCAATATGATATTGTCCCTTCTAGGCTTGAATCTTTTCCATTTTCATCCAAATGTTTAAGGCATCTTTTTTTGTCCTCGCCATTCATTTCGCTTTAATAATAAGGTAAACTTGTGTATTTAACAGAATCTTTGGTTGTTTTGGTTGACAGATTTTGATTGTTTCTTTCATGGTGAATCCTGAATCCAAAGCAACTAACTGTCTTTGTTGTTGACCTTGCTTTTTGTTTGTCTAAATTGTAAAAAGGGTCAGAATGAAAAGAGTTGAGTTGAATGAAGTAGAAAAAAAACCGTATTGAGAAGACAATGGCCCGTGTTGACTTTGCTGTAAGACAATCTGTAATAGATTTGAAAGAAACGTTTGTAAATGAAGGTTGACTGTTGATAATATGTAATGATGATGATGATGACAAGATCTGATGAGCAAAAATAGATGAATGTAAATTGAAAGGGTTAAGCTAAATATGAAGAAAAAAAATTGTAAGGTTAAATGCTCAGCATGATCTTTGATCTTAAAATGGTGAAACCAGATTTGACTTGACTTCATCAGATTTTTTTATGCCTTTTTGTGTTTAAACATTCATCAAGATAAACCCAAATTTTGTTGTTACACTGATTTTCATACAATAATTGTTAACTAAACTATTTTTCCACTACTTTTGACTAATTTTCCTCCATTTCTTTCACTTGTTTGGCTGACTGGTTGGTTGATTAGTTGATTACTTGTTTCTCTGTTCAGTTGATGTGTCTTTATCCATTTAAGGTTAAGATTCCTCATAACTTCCTTATGACTTTACTCAGTTTGTCTTGCTTTGCTTCCTTTTGTTCTCAGCCTCCTCTGGTATTAAATTACTCCATGGTTAGCCTTTGAAAGAATGTTCCTTAATAAAAATCATAATAATAATTGGACGTGAAAAAAAGAATTGATATGGTTGATATGATGTTTTTGTTCCTTTTACAAACCATTCCTTGATTGATGTCCTAATTAATTTGGTCACAGAGGCGAAATGGCGTAAAAATATATTGGGAAAGAAAAAAGAGCAAAAACTTGGTTAGTTACTACCATCATATTATATTGTATAACCATAGAAGCAGATTTAAACATAAATTGAACAATCAATAGCCAAGTTATTATTAAAAACCAACCACCAAACGGTCACATCAACCCTTTTTTTCATTTAAATCATTCAAACAATAACCAATACTATGCTACCTCTCATGGTTTCATTTTAACCCTTTCTATCTGTCAACCACCCTAAAAACTCAACCACACTTGAACCATTCTTGGCTAACAAGTAAGAAAAATTTACCTCTTCCATTGATTCATCAAGACTGTCAAAAATTAACTCAGCATATCTGTAAGCAATCTTAAACTTTTTTACCCCTTCAACCCTCACTGGAACCTCATGATACACTTTTAACATCCAATAAAATGAAATTAAATGCAAATTTAGAGCAAGATATTTTAAAACTATCAAAAATCAAATTGGGTCGAAAACACAACTTACCTTTCAATGTGGAGTGTGAAAAATGAACAAGACAATGGCCACATGGATGTTAACAAAAAAGTCTATTAACTAGAAATTTTATCAAGAAAATCACTAAATAACGATGGTAGAATAACAATTATCTTAATTAATTGGTAAAATACATTTAAACACTCATTAACCAGTTAATAGTCTTTTACCACCTTTCATTCCAGATGATTGTATTTTCCCGGTTAAACCTAATTACGTCATTAGTTATTGTTTAAAATAACGGTTGGCAACAAATACGCGGCATTTTCAATTTTCACTTAACCCATGCTTTCTTTAAGCGTGCCTCGTTTTTTACCAATTACTTGATTATTTAATTATTTAATTGTAATTTTATCTTCCTCGTTTTTCACCCATTTCCTTGTCTAAACTCCCCTAAGCAAAATTTCTCGCATTATTTTTCCTCTTGCTCTTCTTTACCATTCACTTGTTAATAAAGCTATTATTATGAGTTATAAAAATGTGTTTGTGTGTGTTGTTAAGGATGATACTGTTTTTTTGCTGCTTTTGTGCTCTGCATCGACAAATGGACTGAACAACAACACATTGAAAAAAGAGCAGTGAAATCCCATCAAGTACGTATAATATTATCATCATTATTACCATTAACCTGATACAACAAATAGAAATACAAGAGGAACAAAAAATATCAAGGGAAAACATGAAAAAATGGCAAGACTTGGAAAAGAAGTGGAAGAAATCTATGTTGACTCTCGGGACAATTTGTTTTTTTTACCATTTAATGACAATGACCATTTAAGAAGGAAAAGATAAAGTTGAGTGGGTTACTTGTCTTGTTGAGTGACAGTGAACATTAATCAATCAAACCACAAACAACAACAATGATTCTCTGTTCTTGGTTGTGCTAAAAATGATGATTTATCATGAGTAGTCTTTAATGGGTTGACGGACCAACACTTAACTATTAGCTGAATTTCAACAACTCATGAAAACATAAGGAGAGGAGGAAGAAGACAAGATGTAGGAAAAGTGGATTGACAAAAAAAAATCAAAGACCAATATTAAAGTCTTACTGCCAAAAACTATCATCAGCTGGAATACATTTTTATTTAAACGCATCCATTGGTGAAAGTGATGAATTAACAACAAAGTGTAAGTAAATACAGTTATGGTTATGCCTATTTGATCTACAAAATGACCCAGTTAATGTTAACAAATAATTTATTCGCTCATTTTTTTCTTCTTTGTCCTCAACCGTCCATCACCGTCAATATTGACAAATTTCCTATCAAATGGTTGCCTTAAAGAAGACTCTTTAATCATTCATAGCAGTCTTGATTGAAATGGAATCGAAGAGATTGGCCATCGATTAAAGCTTTTACAGTCCAGTGAGAAATTTTAAGAGTTGGATAAGCTAAAATCAACTGACCTTTCATGGATGTTTACTTGTTGACACCGTATATTTTAATCGCCAGGGAAACATCGCCTTTCCTAACTATTGGAATCAAATCAATGAGAAAACGTATTTTTATTGTTTTTTCGGTAACAGTCAGAGTTATACAGACTTGTTGGATTCATTGTTATGATATAATGACATAATTAACTTATAATTGTCTTGTTGATTGGCTAAAATGATGTGTTAAGTTAACACTCCTGCTTGTGTCCATATAACTAGACTGTTACTGATTTTTCATAGTCAAACTTGTGTGCAAACTGGTATGATCAAAGATACGGATAAAGTAAATAATTCATTCAAGAGTCAACCAGTTAAACACTTTGCATTTTGTTGATCACTCCAAATGAATGGTTTTCACTCTACATTGAGTCCATAAATTTGTTTGTGCATGTATAACAAAAGTTGAATTCAATTTATCCATCTAGTCATTGTTATTATAATATAATTTACGCAGATTTGCTCAATTGACCAGTTTAAGTTGATTATTTTAATTTTATCAACTTTTCCTTTCTCTTCTCATCTCTGGGTGATTATATTATAATGTTTATATTCACAATTTACCTTCAATGTTTTCTAATGCACACTCTATTGTTGGTGATTGTCTAACATTTATATATGTTTCTTTATTTTCAGGACTCTCCTCATGTTATCAAGATTATCTTCACAAATGGACTATACAAATAACTTAAATGGACTCCTTGATGGATGAGGAAAACTTGTCTTGTTGTTACTCTCAAAGAAAAGATGACGAATTATAAGAAACACAAAACGAAGTGTATAATAATGGCTTATACCAATTGCTTAATTCTGTTGTTAATAACATAAACACTGTACATGATACACTTGCCTTTGGACTCGTTTTTTCCCTCTTGCTTCACAAACCTTGAATTACTCTATGGTAAGTGTACAATACCGATCAGTTTTAAACAAGCGACAGTCGAATTAAAACGAATCGATTCCTGTTTTCTTCCTCTCCCACTTTACTCTTTTTTTTCCTCACTGTACAATCACCCAAAGTTTTTTATGCTCAAATCTATTACTTATAGTTTTGTAATGTGTTCACTCTCTTTATCTTTCCTTTTACCCCCATTTAGAGTAAAGAAACCGAGAGAAACTTTTGTCAAAATCTTTGCCTTAATCAATCTCTGTCAACGGAGAACGGATTGAAATGCAAGTCAATCAATGAGAGGAAAAACTCAACTCCATGATATGCGATCCTGTAGTATACACACTGATAAGGTAAAGATGCTGATGTTGATGATGATGATGGTGATGAACACAAACAAAAAGAGAGGAAAAGACACAGAGAAAGACGGGCCAAATGAGAAGCAAAAAAGAGGATGATTTGAATTTAGTAAAGCCTTGAATCAGATTCCGTCTTAATTTGATGAATGGTGATGGTGGATGAGAAAAGATTCTGGAGGAAGAAGGAAAAGGAAAGGGGTTGATACTTGAAAGAGAAGAAAAAAAATATAAAAGCAAAAGGATCATGTTGATGAACAAAGAAGATTGCAAGAAGTAGAAATATTCAATCGAGAACAAATCTAATTACCAGGATAGTTAACTGATTGCTTTTGGAAAGTCTTTTAATTAGCTGATTAAAGAGTCCCGAAAAAAAACAGAGCAAAGACAAAGTCATCTGATGATACGTTTCATTTCCATGGATTTCCATGAAGCTACTGGCATTTTAATTGTTACCCATGGACCAGTTTTTCAGTGGAAAACTTGATTACTGTATCTTCAAGTCAACCGTTTCCAATGGACAGATTTAACTTGATTTCTTGTTCAATTAACCGAGTTTATCTCAAACAATGAAATCATATTGTTTGAATATTTTTCCTGTTAATTACCGGCTTACTGACAGTATCATGTCAACAGCAAACAAAATTGACTATAATTATAAGTTAAATTATCATTTTTCAAATGATTTATGAGTTATTTTTGATCAAAGATAATTTTCTTTTCACTTAAATGATAATGTTTCTTTTGTGTGAATATTAATCTAATTTTAATAACCAATTTCTGGCCTGATAGATGAAATTGACTCCATTATGAATTGTGTGATATATCTTTTGATATGAAATGGTGAAAATCAAGGAAACAAGAGAACTCATTGAATGGAAACTTTCAATTGATTGTATTGATCAAGAAAACTAATCAAAGACTTATTTCATTATGTATTACCAAATTAAATGAGTTGGTAAAGGAAAAGAAAAAATTGGTTCCATTTTTGGGCCATTTTTTGATGTATTAATTTAAAGGTCATAATTTTATTGTAATAATTGTTGTGAAAGAAATTATGTTTCTCTTTGTGTAGGATGATTAAAAGGTAAATCATACCTGTCATGGACATTGATTGATTCAATTGAAAGTTAAATTGTAGTAGCAAATCTGATGACTGTTAATGAAAAACAAAAAATGAATGTTGCATCGTAAAGGTTAATATTAAACATTTAATTTCTTTCTTCTCTTGCTATTAACATAATCACAAATTGGTAATCAAAGTAAATTAAGATGTAAGAATCTGTCAGGTGAATTAAGATTTAGATTATTTTGGATAAACTGATCAATGGAATATCAAAATGAATAAATGAAGGTTCAATCATTTGTTCAAGTCATATTTGGATGCATTTTTCTTCTTCTCAATGGTCAAAGCTTCAGTTTGATGGATACAAAACGATGAATAGATGGCGATTTTAGATTGAAATTGGTTTGATCAAGTAAATTAAAATGATTATAATGGTGTAACATAATATTATCAAATTGTAATTAACTTAGTTGGTCTAAAATTGATTAGATTTGAGAATGTTTTTGTATCTTTATGTTTATGGTTTACGATACAAGTGTGTGAAGATACATTTATATATGCATTTATAACAAATTGAGAGAGAAATCAGTTTTGTCAACTTAATGAAATATAATATAGTTAATCAGATATCCTGCTGGTTCAACAAAATCATTCATTAATTGAACGATTCTGAAAGGTCAGCATAGAAAGATAAAGATTGATTCACAATTTAACTTGAATTGGGAAGATGAGTTCGGGAATATGTCAGATAATGGAGGGAAGGAAGATGATGGCGATGATGAGCTAAGAATGCAAGTTGGGGATAAGATGAGGATTGAAGGAACCAGACGAAAGATTGAAACAGAAGAACGAGAAAACGATAGCAAATGTTTAGGATGTTGTGAAGATTCAGTTGATCTAGAAAATGAGAGGAAGAAGAAGAAGAAAAAGAAGAGAAAAAATGAGAAAAGCTAAAAAAATTTTGATAAACGTTACAAGATGAAGTTGTGATCACGAAATTGGTAAGATGAGTATCACAAATTGATTGCATTTTAATTTGGCGCATCAATCAGTGAGAAAGAGAATCTCTCTTGATGAAGATGATCATGATCATCATTTTTTTACATGGTTATAGGTTTAATCTAGGTTATTCTGATGAGAAATTTTGTGTTAACTGTAATCTAATGTATAATTGAAGTGGTTAAATGATCCAAAACAATGGCCAAAGTCAATGGCTTTGTTTCCTTGCTGTTGTCATTTCAATTACATAGACAGTAAAATAGCAGAAACAGATTTGGTTAACAATTACAGTTGTTGGTTCAAGACAAATGGCTCATTGGAAATGTTCAATTGATTGTTGGACAAACATTTAGTAACGATTTAGTTTTTATTGAGATTCTCAATTGTATTGTTGACTTAGCGTAAGAAATTTTGCAGCTTTTCACTTTCAGCTGATTTTATTGGGGAAAGCAATGTAAGCAACTAAAAAGTACAACCTTTTCCAACTTTCGACTTTCATTCAATTCAGTGAATTGTGAATTCACTCGATTTCTCTGGTTAATTACAATTTAATTTTAACTTGTTTCAAATTTGATTAATTTACATTCAGGTTAACACGATTTAAATTAATGGTGTTACTTGAAAATTGACTCTATGGTTTTTTATTTCCTTATTTTGCCTCTTTCATTGCATCTATTCACTCCTTTTTTTGCTACAATTTAACACTTGGATAAACCAAAGGTGAAATTTCATCCAAGATAATTTTTGTGATGAAGATTATCAATAGAATGATGATGATGACGAAAAGCATTATAAAATTATCTTTTTCTTTCTTTTCTTCAGTTTCAACCTTCACTTTTTAAAGTTCATGATTAGTCTCTAATATTGGAGGCTAGCCAAAGTCTTGTGCACAACCCCAACTAGTTATCATCTTGAGCATTTACTTAACCGATTATCGGCAGCTACGGTCTTGATCAAGTTTGCTCATCATCATCATTATCATCATCATTATCACCATCACCGTCTCTTTTATCCTCTCACAACTTTTCTTTTCACTTTTTTTACATTCTCAGGTCTTCTCGAATCTATACCTCGAGTTTACCTTAACCATCAACAGCATCATCATCGTCATCATCTCTGCCTCTCCCTGGCAGCTTATTTTACTTTGCCTTTTGCTGTGCTTATGCTGACATTTTTACATCACTCAATAAGCTCCCACTCTTTCAGTATAACAAAAATTTCCAATAGCCTCGAAGACTTCACTGTTTGTTAACCAATCCAGGCGTGAACATCACCATCGTCAAAGTGTGGAGAGGGAACAAAAAGTCCAACTCTTTCATTATGTATTTGCTTTTATTTGTGTGACCAGTATGATGGACAGAAAAAAAGGCTTGATTCCGAACAGTTCTTCTCTGTCCAATATCCATGTAGTAAAACCAGTGATTATCGTTCCACTTTATTCATCTTTTTTGTCCTCCGTTCAGTCTGTTTGATCTTCTGGTCATCATGTTAACCTGTTGATGAATGAAAAATGTGATTAGATTCAGATTTTTACAAACAATTTGGACAAGTTGCAAGTTGCTTTATTTACCAGTTTGACAACCTTTTATAGATAATAATTTCACTTTCAACTGAGAGTTTCAACAGTTCAACATCTTTTTTATTATGTTTCTCTATCAAAGGTTTCAACGTCTTCAATTTAACGAGAGATTTAATAAGAAAACTGTGAAAACTATTTTGTTACATATTTGTATACATTTATTCAACATATATTCAATAAAATGATTATTTAGTCTCCTGTTGAAAGCTTACTTGGTAAGAGACTTCAATTTATTTCTCTCTGTCTTTATTTTGTCACTTTTTTCATTACAATACTAATGTTGTATAAGTGTTGATTATTTTCAGACTTGCAAACATCAACAAGATTGATAAGTTTGGACATCTGAATTATGTTTTATGATAAATGCACCCGGACTCAATATATTTCTTACACTTTCCCTGGCCTGCTTTAATTTAATACACTATTCCTATACGCTGTGTAAAAAAGCAAAACGACATTCATTTACTTGTAAGTTACATTAAGCACAAGAGGGAAACTACTTTGTTATACACAGATGACCACACTGAGATATTTTTTATCCTTGGTAGTAAAGGGTACAAAATTAGTAGGATAATGAATGTGAAGGAAGCGAAAAAGTGGGAATTGTAGAAATAGAAAGAGTCAAGGAGTTAAGAAAGCAAAGAGAAATGATTGAGAAAAATCATTCATCATTTTGCTTTTCCTCCTGTGGACAGGCTCGCTGGTCCGATTCATTGATTGTAGCAAATTTTGGAGACAACCAAGTTACTTTAACGAAAAAAAGTGTTGGTGAAATAATAATAATTGAGAAGAGAGGATTAAATTGACATTAATCTCAGGAGAAAGTTAATCAAGAATATACAAAAAAGTATCAGCTGAGAGGTAAGGAGTATAAGGAATTAACAGTAACATACAAACCTGCATTATATTGAATTAGAAATGAAATATGGATTAACCAGTTTGAGCAATAAAGGTTGACTGTTCCATACATTCAACCAGCTTGAGGAAAAGACATGAAGTTGTAATAAAATTGATTTTGATTCCATCAAAACGACTGCCACTTTATGTCAATTGTTGGAAATGATATAAGATTGACAAGAGATTATTAAATTGTTGGAAAGAAAGGCCCAAGTACCATAAACTACCACCATACTCTAAATGAAAATTTAGAATGATTAAATCTCTCATAAAATAAAATTTACAATCAGCACTTACCCTTAAATTGTGATAAACATTCGTAATAATCGGAAAACTTTCATATTTTTTACCCGCAAACAAAATTTGATTTTTTCTTTGCAAAGAAAAATTTCAAGCTTCATTGCTATAGAGGGGCCATCTATGAGTGAAAATTGGCCAAACATGTGTAACAACTTTTTCACCATATTTATTGGTAATTAAGAGTCAATTAATTGAGTGATTGGCAATAATTATTTTGTTCAATGATTTTGTATTACTTATTCATAATTCATCACCTTTAACGCCTAACCATCTCTTTGATTATCAACTTTCAAGTTAATCAACAGTTTGATCATTCAACTGAAACAGATTGAAGTAACTTTAAGATCAGTGTTTTATTGAAAACAATGTTTACCTCATTATTATGGGTAACTCATTTTGATGAAAGTATACGTTTTTTTCATAGACTTATCAACACTTTGATCAAGAATGTTGATTATCAATGCCATTTACCGTGAGTTTACTTGAATGGTAAATCTTGAATATATTACATGAGCAACTCAATTTTGTTTGCCGACATCGTCTTTTGATGGCTTCTTGGTTGACTGATGGATCAAAATCAAGTGTTAAAGTGAACGCTAATTTAACCTTTTACTGCTAACCGACTGGAGCTGCATTCAAAGAATGAATCTGCAAAAATAGCCATGAATTTCATTTTCTCATTGCATGGTGCACACAAAGGGTTACCTTGGTTTTTTTGTAAGATTCATCGGTTCACTGGTAAGCTGACAATTAAATGTCTTTTGTTTCTTGTGTTTGTCTTCAGTATCATTGGTGCTTAGTTGAGTAAAGAAAATGAAAATCTTTTCTCAAACCAAGAAAAGCATGGCTTAATTTAGACCATTAATCATAAATTTTCTATACACTGAACATAATTTTGTCTTTTTTTGCTCTTTTACCATCAAAAATGATGTAAATACTTTTTTATTTTTACTTTTTCTCTCTCTTTTCTTTCAGATCACTTTCATGTCCTATTTTGAATACCTCGCATATGGTTGATGCTTAAAGTTATCCATCCAAGGAATATGAGGAATTGTCTCTTGGTGTGAAATTTGATACTCCAAAGGTGCCAAAAATGATTTATAAAACATTCAATATGAGGACAAAACAAAAAATTTATTGGTGCTATTCAATCAATGGCATTTTAATTTATGAATTCGTCATCTTCATTGTTGGTTACAGAAAATGATTTTCTATTGCATCTGTTTACAATCAATTCAGACAGTCTTACTGGAGCATTGCGAGGATTTATATTTTATGTTAGTGTGTTTTTGCAAATTTATTTACCAGAATTATACCATTTATTGTAATTATTAATTTACATTGTTCTAACACTTTCATCTTATTGCAATAAACAAATCTTAGAATCGCGATTCTATTGTTTTATTTCTTATCATATAAAAAAGACTTTATGCTATGAAACGAATCTATTATAAAATCAAAAATTAATGATATTGAAACCAAACAGTTTTATTTTTTCTGTTTTGAAGTTCAGATTACATGACAGATTATTAAGAATATCGCCAACAATTCCATTTGTCTTTGGAGAGATTTATACATTTACAAGCTACATTGATCGGTTAGAGTTTTGTTGCAATTACAAAGCATAATCCGAGTCCAGAATATTGTTCCTGTTAAAATTTCCCAATCACCCCGCAAAATCGAGTCACCAGTGTTTTTGAATGCAAGCTGATTTGATGATGAAATTTCCTTCTCTCGAATTGATTCAAGATTATCAAGTTGAAACCAATTGGGCATAATTTTGTTGTTGATGAGTACTTGTATCGCGTATCGGTTACATTGATCGTCAATTTCAATATCATAATAACTATCAACCTTGTTCTTTGGGTCATTTGGCAAACCTTCAAGAAATATCCATCGCTGTGAGTCAATCATGAAACGTGTTAACCATAACTGCCAGATTTGTGCGTATCGAGACCAAATGTTTTCTTTATTTGTAGTAAACATAAGCTGATAGAATAGTTTAGTTGATGATTTGATCGCCTCCTCATCTGTTTCAATAGAAGACCAACTCTCACTTAGATCTACTAATTTTTTAACGTTTGCTTGGAAAATAGTTGGATTTAGAGAATTGATTGTCTCGACCAGCATCGTTTTAATTTCATTTGGAAGCTCAAAATCCCATAGAACATCTTCAAGAATCCAGATAATAACCTGGCGTAGACTTTCCAGGAAAGATAATTTACCCTTCAAATTGGGTAGAGTGGAGATAATTGCTGAAGGACCTTCTCTTATTAATCTTCCCATGAAAATTCTAATTCTTTTAGGGACAATAAGTGCTGCTTCACTTGCTGGTGGTTCCGACTCGGCAATGTCTTCGATTACTCGCTGGATAGTTCCAAAATATGTTTGATCGTATTTATCCAGACTATCGGCAGCAGAATATGATCGGACGATCAGAGAACGGAAAATCTTTATAGTTGGCAGAAAAAGTGATACAAGATCACCATTTATTATTTCTTTAATCAATGTCGAGGTAACTCTGCTTAATAAAATTAATTTGTTGACTTGCTCTTCTTCCCAAGGTGTTATTACCTTGATCTTTCCAATAACCGTGGATATATCAAACAGCAATATTCTGATTTGTTCACAAATAGATATTGATTTATCATTTATTGAACAACTTTGTTTATATAAACCAATAACGTTGACCGTTTGTCCAATAAGCCAAGTCTGATAAAAATATTTGTTCACCAAAGTAGTTGTCAATGAAGGTTTAACTGTATCTTGTTGAGACTCCAAAAGGAAAAGCTTTTTGTCCAACAATTCATAGCCAAAGTAATTTATTTTACGTGGTGATCGTCCATTTGAGTGAACTATCAAGATATGACAAGAATTTGCCGGATAAACAACAACCAAACCAGTGCATTTTGTCGTATTAAGCAAACCAATATCAGCAGGTAATTTTAATGAGAAAGTGAATATGCTTGGTTCCAATGATTTCTGGATTGTTTCATCGATTTTAAATGGATCTAAAATGATCAGTAAGTCAAATTCTGATGGTAGTGAAGTGAAACCAATCAAATTGAACCAAGTAATATTAACAGGGACACTTGAGTTTATCTGAATAAATGGTGAACAAAAGCCTCGTTTCTCTCGGACTAATTTATCACCATTTTGAAGATAATAGCCATTAGCGATATTGAAAAACCTTTTTCCGTCAATTTCAACAAAATCAGATGATGGATCACGGTAAACTGGTAAAAGGAAAGCGATTGTTTGAAGAGCCTTGATTCCACACCGCCGACGAAAACTAGAATAGCCATTATTGGTTAAGATGAATTTGATTCCATTGAGAGCTTCTAGAGAATTGCCATTGGTTTTGATAATCAAACGATTTTTCACTGAGGTATCAACCAAAGATCCATTTTCGTATTTAACTTGTAATCGAAGGCTAACTTTTTCATCAGAAGGACATTTAACTTCGATTTCCTGGCTAAGAGAACCAATTGCAATACCAACCACTCGATCCACTTTTTTTAAATTAATTATTATATAAATAGAGCCACATAGATCAACAGGTTGGATCTTGACTTTGGAACTACAATTGATCGAAAGGTCTCCTTTGGATGTAACGTTTGATTCTTCTGGTAATACTATTTCCTCGGTTTGGTAAATGTCGGCGATGCCACTGGCTTCATTATTAAAAGGACTGGAAGATAGAAGCAGTTCTAACCGATAGTTGGTCAACTGAATATCAGATTTGGTATTAGAATTTTCATTAAGGTCACTCTCATCATTTTTTAGGCCACTTAAAATTACCACTAAATCACATATCTCGGATAAAATAGTCTCTTGATCTGGAGTTTGCCATATTGGAATAATCGATGAATTTTGATAATTTTGGCAATCTAAACTTGAAAGACGAATATTTTCTGAAAGAAAAGAAAGTTAAATTAGATGAAATCAAATTAAATCTAAAATGTATTGATATTTACCTCCGGATGATCGTAAAATTTGTCCGCAAATTAGTATACAAAAGATTTCAAACAGATAGACCATATCGATCCAGATATTTTGAATGGAATGGCAATGATTAATGAAATATCATATGATTATCATCATGTCCATTTTTACAATACGTAGACCAGTATTGAATTATTGATTTACCTATTTAGAGCAACTTCTAATAATAAAAATATAGAAGTTTGAATATTTTCTGGTTTGCAGGTAATCTTATCCTTAAGTTTATCACGTCTTTTACGTTGATTTGTAATAAAAGAAATTGAATTTATAAATGAAACTTAAAAATTTTTATTTCAGACATGCTTAATAAGCAATTCAAATTGTAGCTAATATGACTTTAAAAAAATTAGTTGTGAGATTAAACATCAGAGATAAAGGTGGATTTCAAGTAAACGGAAACTGGCGTCATTGAATAATGGTCAGATCTGATCCGAATGTATTTAAATAATAAAAAATGTGTCAATTGGTGAGACAGAATTAAAGATTGTTTTAAAAGGGCATTATAATTTGAATATAATATTGCTCAACGAATTTTCAGCCATTATTAAGTATTTTAGGTATCACTATAGCTGCACCAGCTTCAAGTTTACCAAGACAAACGAGATTCCTTCCAGAATACACGACAACTTCTCGATTAATTACGGGTGCAACAAAGTCTTGAGTTATTTGTTTCACATCAACATTTTCTTCAGTTTTATTGATTGATGCGTTATCCAATGAGACTGGGGTGTTGTTTAAAATATTTACTTCTGGATGTCCGACTTTAGCGATTTCGAAAGTTAAGTCACTTGGATTATCAACTAATTCAACTTTCCCACTCTCATATACTCTGAGTTTACCCAATTTCATGTTAGCGTTATTCTCAAACATTTTGGGCAACTGGAATAGAAAGAATTTATCTCCTTTTGAGCTTGATAACCAATCTTCATTAATAGAGTTAGAGGATGACTTTGGTGTCGGTAATGATAAGCTTTCCCATCCTTGAGGTAGATGCTCAATGTTTCCACTTTCCTTATCGTTGGACCTATCAATAAAGTCATCTTGATAGAGTTTTCCTTCAATGAATGCTGGTTCAATTGAATCTTCTGTCTGTTCCTGGAATGTAGAAGATAATGATGAGTTTGGTGCTTTTTTGCCCTTGGATTTTTTCTCTGATTTCGTAGTCTCTGACGGAGTTTTACGAGTCGTTCTAAAATGAAAAATAAAGAAAAGTATAAATGTATTTCGCAAAAATAGAGCTCATAATCAATACATAAAAATCAAGACTATATAAATAAAAACCTTGAATCTCCAGTGAATACAGGTGACTCCAATTGGATAAGTTTTTTCGGTTTTTTGGTAGTTTGTCTTTTTGCTTTGAGAGGAGATCCTTTCCAGTCATTTTTACCTTGCTTGACACAATTTTGAAAGGGTTTACTCTCATTTGATTTCCTGCAATCCGGCATATTGGGTTCGTAAGCTCGTTTCACAGGAGATTTGTTCAGAGTTAAGAGATTTTGGTTGAAGGAGGCACTTGATTGGAAAAGTAAACTAGGTTTTGATAAGCTTGATCTCAAGGAGGGTAACCTTTGGTTTGGATTTAATGGTAGACCCGATTTACTCACCAATCCTCGAGGTAGGTTGTTACTACTTGTGGATGCCGGTAAAAAACTATCTGACATATTTCCAGATGAACTCTCCAAATAGCAATGATGAGTTTAACAGATTACAAAGCAGATGATCATTAGCATTGAAGTAACAAGCAAAAACCACAGTTTTAAAATTCGATCATGCAATAAATATACAGTCATTAATCGTAAAATGAATGAAAATAAAGACAGAATATAGCATGAAATTCATGCCATCAATTTATTAAAGATGTTTTTGTTTAGGTTTAATACCCTTTAAGGCGCCACCGTAAAAAATAATAAAAACAATAACAAATTTTTAGACCGTGCTGCTATCTTTAGGAATAAGCAGATTGATACACATTTGCCAGTTTGATTAATTTTTGTTAAACAATTAGGCAATTATTAACCAATTTACAATTATAATTGTATTAAAAATCGTAATGAGCTATTAGCATTCTTCATTTTTGCAAATGATGGTTCTTTCAATGAACTGAGATTTTCTCCTTTTTTAAAATATAAGAGATTAGTGCCAGGAATCCAATGTGTTGAGCTCTGATTGTCAATTGTATTAGACTCATTTGAATATTTTGTAAAAATTCTATGAGACAACCACTAGAGTTTGTTTTTGTTAATTAAAATTTTTTTGAATGAAATTCGTCCGACTCCAGTTTGTTTCGTTAATATATCTTTAATTTTTATAAATGTTTTAATGTACAAATAGACTTTATCATGATGTATTACGTTTTGAGCCAAGTTCATTGATAAATATCTATTTCAATTGTCAATTAATCATAACGATGAGAATATCGACTTGACTTTCGATATCGATCTTTGTCTTTTTTATGTTTTTTGTATGATTTATAGTAACTACGATCTTTAGAGCGTTCTTTCGATCTAGATCGGTTCTCACTATTTTCAACTCGTGTGGATGATCTTGCAGAACTATTATCATTGTGACTATTTTTACTACTCTTCTTTTCCTTTTCATGTACGGACGTTGTTGAGGTATTTATGTTTGCATTGGTTTCATCCGTCAGTCCTTTATTAGCTTTGACGCCATTTTTATTCTCCCAATTTTGTCTCAATGAATCTATTTTTTGTTCCAATTCCTCTTGATTAGGTTTCTTTAGTGTATAAACTTTGAGTATGGTGAGACAAATTTCTTCTATTCCTTCTTTGGAGGCATCAAAAAGTTCATACCATGCTGGATTTGTTAATAATGGAATCTGAAATAGTTTGAAAAAGAGAAAAAAAATTGTAGATTCATTTTAAATCTTACCAGTTAAGTTACACTAGGAAGGAGTTACAATGACCAATTTAATTTAGCACAAAATATCTAGAATTTTCTGATGACAATTTCAGAAAACCTTTTAAAATTTTTTTGTGCTCAGTGGTTGATTGGTCGTAATAGTTTTATAGACTTATTACTATATTATCATATACTTACGCCTAAAAGATTGGCACTTAAATGTACGCAAGCACATGCTATTGTTTCAGGAGGCCACCTCAAAAATACATCAGTCCTTAAGCTGTCATTCATATAATTCCATGATATTTGCATGAGTGTTTTATTATCTTTCAGGTCCAAGATCTGAAGTAAAGTGACGATAAATTTATGAGGATGTTTCATGTGGACACAGAAACCTGTCTCTTTTAACAATTGTCTCTCTTTGTAAATAATTTCATTTTTCAATTCAATATAAGTTTGATCCAGGAGCACTGGTTGAGCTGGTAGACCTGCTCTAACCAGGCGTATATGATTAAAAACATTGATTATATCACGAATCCTTCTTGGCGCCTCTTCAATTTTAGAGGCTAAAAGAGTACAAGCCATGGCTGTTATTTCCATCTTGTGACGAACAAAAGATTTTGAATAGTAAAACCGTTGGAATAAAACTTGTCCTGTGGCCATCGCTATTTGGGGCAGCTTCAACAAAATTCCCGCTGTTTGAATTAATTCTGTACCTAAAATCCTCATTTGGTATTCACTTTGTGCATCTAAACCATCCATGAATGAAGGTGTACACATGAATTTATGACTTGGAAGTATGATGTTTCCATAGCTCATAGCTATCCCTTCATACTTCATCACTTCGGATTTCATTTTGCTGAGTAATCAAAAATAAACACTAATTTACAAACTAAAGAAATAAACTTAAAAATCTATGAAAATAAGTCCACAAAATATTGAAACGCTCTATACTATTGAGAGATAAATCCGCTCAACTCAAGTAGGCTCACTTTTATACCGGAATGAGAGTGATTATTTGAGGCGCGCAATTCAATTTGAAAAACATGTTTTAGACTTCCAAAGAGTAATATCAATTATAGATTATAATAGATTGTTTATTTGAATTGATAAATAGCTTGGAAAATTTAATCAGTTCAAGCAATAAAATCATTGAAATATAATCGCTTTCAATAATTTAGTAAGTTTATTTATTAACTCATTAGTAATGACCAAGATTTGATCACATGTTAGTTGCTTTTCTATGTAAACTGAACTGACAAGAAAGTTGTTGTAAATATCTTCAGTGATTTACATTCGCTAATAAAGCTTCGAATTTCAACAATCAATTGTCTTATTCGTTTCGGGTCTGTCTTCGGCTTAGGAACAACTAATTTAGTACAGTTTGAAACAAGGTTCGTGCGATTTAAAAACAACAGAAATATCGACAACCAGTTCACTTCAAAACATGCGTTTCCACAATAATTTTTATTATCATCTTACATGTGTTGATGTGCTATTTTAATTTTCGATTTTCTACCGATACTTTATCCAGATCATCAAATTTCATTACCATCAACTTGGTCAATTAGCTTTATTATTATTATCAATTAGGTCAATTAATATGAAAAATGTATCGCAATCCATTAAGACTATTGGCTCAATGCGCCGAAAGTCTTTTCCTGTTGATCAAAAAATGAACAATCTGACGAAATTTAAAGGATTGACACCACTTGCTGGATTCTCATATTCAAAACAGCTTGATATAAAACAAAAAAGAACAAGTCAAATTCTCGAAACACTGACTGACAAATTGAAAGGCATGAACTCATCTGTAATACCTGATGAACGCGGACTGCCTTGTTTATTAGAAAGAATAGTGGCCTCTCCTGTTACTAAAGGTTACCGTAACACTGATGACTTTTCAATTTGGCCTGGGCTGGATAAAAATCCTAAAACTGTAGGATATATTATGGGTAAAGCTAGTAATTCCAACAAGATACCCGTTTGTTTACCTCCAGATGATTGTGTAATTGTTAAAGACTCTCACAAGATTCTGGTCTCCAAATTTCAACAATACCTGAGGAATCATTCACCGCTCGGCATTTGCATGGACTTTTCTCGAGGAGGAAATTGGAGACGGTTTTGTGTTCGTAGTAATGATTTTGATGAACTAATGGGCATAGCAATTCTTCATCCACAAAAACTGTCATCAAAAGAGTTGAAAGAGGAGCAAAATCGACTGAAAGATTTTTTCATTCCTATTAGTCAGGATATAAACCTAAAATCATTTTACTTTCAGGTAAGAAGACATACCAACAGCAGTTTTTCGGTGTTTTTTTTACATTTTATTCTCTATTTATTTATCAGGCCTGTCCTGGAGTTCGCTGTACAAATAGAAGAGCACCTTTCGAATTATTGTTTGGAGATGAACACATTGACGAAGTTATTAATGGCACAAAAATAAGAATTACTCCCGAACCGTTTCTCCAAGTAAATAAAGGTGCTGCAGAAATGTTGTACAGACAAATAATCGAAGAGATTGAACCCCAATCTGATATGACAATTCTTGATATGTGCTGTGGTTCTGGGATTTTGGCAATTCAACTGGCACCATTAGTCGAAAAAGTCATTGGAGTTGATTCATGCGAGGAAGCTATCAAAGATGCAAAAATGAATGCTCAAACGAACAATATTACGAATTGTAATTTTATACACGGAACCATGGAAGATTATATGGTGAAAATTAGTGAGGATCTCTATTCAGATGATCTTGTTATGGTAGTGAACCCAGGATCAGGTGGATTACCAAGTGGTGTTGTCAATGTCATAAGAACTATGAGTAATGTTTCTAAATTAATTTATGTATCTTGTAAGCCGGAGGGTCAAGCTTTAAAAAACTTTGCCCATCTCTGTTTGCCATACAGACCAAATGATGATATTCAAGGCGATCCTTTTATTCCTGTTAAAGCTATACCCTTTGACTTATTCCCACAAACTGAAAGAGTTGAATTATTAGTTTCATTTTCTCGTATTTAGACGCTGAATAAAATTCTTTAATGTAAGTGCCGATAAAATTGTATAATGTACAGAAAAAAGCTCAACTCAGATTAGACAATTGCTAACCGATATTAATAAAATAAATTCATTTAATGACTTGAGATTTGATTGATATGAAATATTACCGAGTTTTTGCAATAATTATTGAGATAAATTTATCAAATTTTAAGCACTATGTGCAATTTTATTTTCAATTTTATGATCAAAGGATTTACAAGGAACAGAGGATGAATGAGAAAGATTGGAGGGGAAAGGAGATTTATTGTGACAATTTTGTTTGTTTTTAAGTTGTTGCGTGAATTTAGTTTGTTGTTGTTTCTATACTTAATGAGATAGCCCAATAGATCAAGTTGTGAGAATAAAACAAGATTAAACTGAAGATATGAAGTTTATGAGAAAGGGTTGTTGGGATTATTGCCGATTCTTGCCGTTTAATATAATGATTGGTGAAATAAACAAGCAATGCGCATGAATTATAAACGAAGCAGCAATTAATAAAAAATACGGCAATATAAATAAAAGGATGAAAATTAAGATGCTCAGCAAATGATGAATTGGGACTTGAAAATGTGTTTGATTTAAATCTAAAGATGAAGATGAAGGTGAAGGTGAAGATGGCAATGAAAATTATGTGAAAGAAGAATAGTGATCCATGATCCTGGTTAGATGAGTGAAGATGTTGTCATTTAAATTGATGATAGTAATGATGATGATGATGTTGATGTTGATGACAGTGATTGAGATAAAGGTAGAGATGAATAAAGTCGGAATGTTTACAATCAACGCTATTTGATTAAAGACTGGTCATGATCTTCAATCAAGGTAAACAAATATGGTACCATTTTATTTGATATAATGGTCAATGTGAGTTCGGCAGTTAATAATGAACTTACTCAAGTAAATCAGTTTATGTGCCTTTTAAATGCTAAAATTAACAGACTGGACTTTTCCCTTCGTGATGAATAAGGAAAGATACAGCGAAAGTACAATGTGAGCCTCACAACATAAAATTATCACAGATTTTTTTGCCTTACAAGCAGTTCTTAAGAATAATTAAGAGTTTCAAATTCATAGTTGCACTCTTTTTTGATGACTTATCTGACGCCACTTTTCATATTAGATTTAACATTAGATCGCAGTTTGCTCTTTTTACTAGCAGTATCAACTAAGGAATCTGTATCGGTGTCGAGATTTTCATTTGAGTCTTCCAAGTCTCCATTGAGATCATCTTCGTCATCCTCTTGTCCCATTAATGATCTTAAGCTTTCATCATCTGAATCAGCTAAGCCAGCAGCTCCAGTCATGGATGGAGTCATGGTGGGACCAGAAATGTTTGAAGTTGACTTAGCTTGTTGAGGTATAGAGTGAGTTGGACTTTTCATAGATGAAGCGGAAGATGACGACCCTCTTGGATGTTTAGATGAGCTAGGAGTTGGATTTGTGTTGGGTTGGCTGGAACTCGAACTTGGACTGTTTTTAGTTTTAGCATGACTGGAGGAGGATTTGGAGCCCTTTGCAAGAGAAGGAGATGCAGATGATGTGGTGGTTGTTGTTGAGGTAGATGAAGTTGTTCCTAACCCTGCTAAATTACCTAATCCATTCATAAGTCCACTTTGTGCTAAAGATGCGAAAGGAGAAGGAGGCATAGAGAATCCTCCAAGTCCGAGATGACTGTAAAGAAGACTATTTGAATAAAGGAATGGAAGAGAGTTATAAAAGCTTGCAGGGTCATTCAAATTGGGGCTCGGGTTTTGGTTCGGGTTTTGATTCGGATTTTGGGTAGCATTTTTGGAGCTTGAGTTTTTACCACTTTTATGACTACTGGATCCAGATTTATCAGAACTACTCTTATTTTTATCTGCACTGCTGCTTGAAGAGCCATGATCTTTCTTTTTACTACCTTCAGTACCAAGCCCTGGGACTGAGAATGGATTGAAACCAGAATTCAATCCTAGGCCTGGAAGGTTGAAAAGTGGATTGGCTAAGCCCATTCCGAATGGGAAAAGCATTGAAGAGGCCGCATTTGCTGCTGAACTAGTTGATGTTGTTGCTGCTGAAGATGATGATACATTATTATTGTTACTTCTAGATCCTGATGAAGCAGAGCTCATACCAGCTGCTGCTGAGATAAAGTTTGGATCCATGAGCATTTTATGGAAAGAATTTGATAGAAGATTAGAATTTCCTCCAAATGGATTGAGAGTAGAAGGTGGAAATCCAAAACTGGAACTTGTTGCAGGCGTGGTTGAAGTTGTCGCTGATGATATAGCGGTAGCATTAGCAGCTGCTTGGTTAGCTAATAACGAAGCAGCTGTTGCCCGACGAGGACTCAACTCATTTGTACTATTTTTAGATTTGTTGTTACTACTTTCTCCTGATTTGCGATCACTTGTTCGAGTTCGGATAGTGCTCGGAGCAGGAACATCTCTTGAGTGTGAAGACTGGAAATTGAGAGCAAAAAAGAAAGGTTATAACCAAATAAGATGAAATTACAAGACATTAATAATGCTCATTGATTAAGTTAAAATATTATAATACATACCGATGCTTTAGAGGATGAACGGCTATCTCTAAGTAGATTTGCGTACTTGGGATCGAGTTCGTACATTGGATTTTTCTTCAAGAAATCAGGAAGTTGCTTAAGAGTTGGAGCTTTTGATCCAGAGAGCTAAATTAGATAAGGTAAAGAATTCAAATTAAAACTCATGAGAAATTATAAAAACCATTGATAAGACAGTAATGCAACAAAAGTTTGCTTCGCAATAATTAATGCCTTTGCTTTTAATAAATATAATTAAGAAATCATACCTTCTTTCCATTTAGTCTATTAACTAATGGGATATGTTCATCAGCGGAGAAGCCCAGTGGATTAGCCAACGATTGATGGCTTGACATTGGTGCTGGTGGTGGTAAGGACTGTGTTTTGGGAGGTGTATGTTGAGGAACATCTACCTTTGAACGACGAGAGCTTCTTTTCCTGTTATCGGGTAGCTCTAAAAGCTGCGTCTGGAGATATTCAAAGAAAATATTAAAATGAAATGAGATATTATGTAATGAAGTCAGACAGAAAATTAAAATTTTGATTTTAGATTTGATGAATTTGACTTACATTAGCTGATAAGGGAGAAGAACCAGTTAAATTTGCAAATGCACTAACAAAGTTAGGATTGGTTAAAAGCTCGGGATGTTCTTCAAGGTATTTCTTCAATTGAGTGGTTTGGTCCAGAAAACTTGCATCTAATTTGGGTAAATTTGATGAGAGATTTCCTGCAATATCAGCTGATACAGATTGTTGTCGAGATGATGATGTTGATTCTTTGTGTCCAGAACGAGGTGGAAATACTTTAGGAGTAGCAAAGTTTGCTTTTTCCGGAGGTTTCATTTGCATATCTCGTGCAAGAGATGCGGACATTGAAGACGAACGAGAAGAGGAATGAGCTGCTGGTGGTGTTCTAGTACGATCTTTTGAACTTGATGAACCTCGTGTTTCGACCTTATCCAGTTCAGAACGCGCTTTTAATTCTCTAGCAGCGCCCATTGGACTTGACAATTTAGGTTTCTCTGGCACTGGATCATCTTGTTTTTCTTGCTGCATCTTCTTTCGTTGCAACAAGTTAGTTGCAAGATCATCTATGCGTCTTCCAATACGTTTACCTGATTTGCCTCGACTAGTTAAAGTTGGTGAAGTTAATGGTCCGGAGGCTGAGGAGTCATCCTCTTTGGAACGATCTGAACTAGAATCTTTCCTTATGGGACCGCTCAAGTCAAGTACTGATGATAAGGATACAGGTGTAGATGATCGTTTAACCACCTTATCAGGAGGTGGCAATGGCTTAGATGCAGGAGTCATTGGCTGTTGACCAGGTACTGGTTTAGCAAATTTGAGATCCAATGTGTCGAGATTTGGTGTGCGTTTAGTGTTTGATGAAGAATGGGCAGGTGGTGGTGCTCCTTGTGACTTACTGGATTTGTTAGCATGGTCAGATATTGGAGAAGTGAGAGGAGTTTTAATGGACGATAAAGAAGCGAAAGGATGCCCAACAGTTGGTGGTGGAGGTGCATGGGAACGAGATTTGCTGGATGAACCATGTGAATGAGAATGAGCCATAAGAATCGAAGATCCTTTATCATCATTGGCCATCTCATTTCTGAAGTTAGGAAGAGACATCGAAAACAAAGGAGGCAAAAAGGGAGGAGTATTTGCCAACATTTGACTGCTGTGTTGAGACAGGTTCTTCTTTGATGATTGCATTGGAGTGTCAGGTTGAGAAAGTAGATTTCGTAATTTAACTCTATCAGGTGGATCCATTTCATAACGACGTCTTCGTCGACCTCTTGATCGAAGTCGACCTCCAGAATCAATCATTCCAGAAGCATTGGCCACATCAAACATGAATGGATCAGGTGATGGTGAAACTGATTCATGACGAGGTGTATTGTCAGGAGTTGCTTGAGGTGTAGGCTCTCTACTCATACTAGAAATGCTCACTGGAGAAGCAGCTCGAGGTGAACTATCAGCTGTTGCAATACTTGGTGTTGATGGTACAGTTGCAAGAGCGGTAAACAGATTTTGTTTACAGAAAGGCCATTCATTCTTTTCAACACAATGACAAATTTGCTCTAAACGTACAATAAGTACACGTTCTTTTGGCCATCGAATGAATCCACGACTTGCGAAATTATCAGCTGATTGTGAAAAGAAGTTAGGATCGTTCTCTAAAATATTGCCAGAAGCAACTTTAGATTCGACTGGAGTTGTTTCGTTTTTCACAATAGTTATCTCCATATGAGTTGGATGAGATTTCTTTTCGGCTTCTGATTCAGATTTTACCTTTGATTCTTGACTTTCGGTAGATTCATCTAACTCTTTCTCTTTCATCGAAGATTCGTCAATTTTTTCTTTTGAATCATCTTCTTTTTCGGCACTCTTCGAAAGATCGTCAGCCTTTTCTAATTCATTTTCATTATTGATCTTACTTTCTTCTTCAGGCATCTTTTCACTGTCCTCAGCGCCATCAACTTTGCTATCTTCTGGTTTCTCTTCAGAATCCTCAACATTGGAAACTTTACCATCCTTTTCTTCTTCCGTTTTTGGTTCCTCTTCTGTGTTTTCTTTTTCTTTTTCCTCTTGAGCTTCTAACTCATCCTTTTCTTTAGTCTCATCAATTGATTTATCAACATCCGAAGGAACTTGAGATTCTTCAGCGTCTTCTTTCTTTTCTCCAGAAATATTATTTTCCGATGATTCACAAGGTCTCACTTGATCTCCGTCCACAGACATATCTGCCTGTTTCTGTAAATCATCTTCTTCTTTGGTAGATCGCTTCTCATCTTCTTCGTTGGAAACATTTTCTTGGTCTTTCTCTTTTTCCATTTTTGAATTTTCTTCGTCGCTAACTTTTTCTTCAGCTAACTCCTCTTTTTCTTCTTGATCATCTGATTTAGATTGAGACTCCTTTTCATTAGTTTCATCAACGTCCATTTTTTCAAGATCTTCTGGTTTACTTGAAGATTCATCCTTTGTCTCTGATTTTTCTTTCTCTTCCACCGATGCTTCTTCAGCTTCAGCTTCATTTGATTTTAAATCACTAGATTGATCATCTGAAACTTTGGCATCGTTTGATTCGGATGGTATCTTTTCATCATCAGCGACTTCAGTTTTAATCTCTTCACCATCGTCAGATTTTTTGACTTCTTTATCCATTTTATCTTCGATATTCTCTTTGATTAATTTCTTAACACTTTCTGACCCTTTTGGACTTTGATCCTTTGTTTTGGGTTTTGCTTCAATTTTATTGATCTCAAGTGTTGTCTCTCTCTTTACACTTTCCTGGCTTTGTTTCACTTCTGCCTTAGATTTAGATTCAGCATCATCATTACGGAATATTTTCATAAACGATAATTCAGGATCATTCATAAGGTTTATGTCGAGACGATTCAAACCATATTTAGCAGCTCCTACTAAAAGGTCTTTATCATGTCGACCACATATCCACCAATCAGGAAGATCAATTGATGTTTGACAAAGAGTTAACCTGTCATCAAGTTCAGGATGAGGTAAAATATCCTCTCGAATTTTACACAAAAGCTCGATACGAGCAAGAGCACGAGTAGCTTTATCTTCGGAAATAGGATCCACCAAATAATTGTAATTCTCTTCTTCTTCTGAGAGTGAACGTCCAGTAACTTTTTTACACATAGCAAAAAACGATTTAAAGTACTCAGTTAGAGATTCATCAGATTTTTTGTCCAGTTTAGACAACAATCTAAATCTGGACCATTCGTATTGATTGGTATCCTTGTTATACTCGACACCGAAAGAAATGATTGTTCTGTAAAAATCTGAGTCATCCTTTTTGGACCACCTTCTTTGTGCAGCTTCACGTCTCTTCTCCCGCATAACAGCTTCATTACGTTCAAGTCGCTCTTGCTTTTTAACATTTCTTTGGTATGCTGATATCAAATTTCGGAAACGTTTATTCAAATCACCAGGTAATGGAAAAGGCATATACTCTTCATTACCGCTTGGTAAACCTTCTTTTCCTTTAGAATCATCTTTCGGTGCAAACTCGTTATTTACAACTTCGGAAGCTTCGTTTTCATCATCATCTTCTTTGTTGATATCATCAGATTGAAGTTCAGCAATTAAGGCTGTTCCATCTGGAGGACCACATCGAGTCAGAAAACACAAAGCTGGATCTAAACGCATACGATTATAACGATCATAACCGTGTTTGTAAACTCCCATGAGCAATGATTTATCAGCATCTTCATCCCACCATGGTGGTAATCCTGGATAACCATCTCGAATTGGAGGTGAGAAAGGAGCATCTCGATAAGAAATATCTTTACAAATCTTATCACTGAGTTCACCAAATATCTCAGTCTTCAAGTACCATAGAAGTTTAAATCTGAGTAATATTTTGTTTGATATTTTGATAACGTGATTTCGATAATCTTCAGGTAGCAACAAGTCAGGGTTGTATAAGTCTTCTTTTGCCCAGTCATATGAAATCAAGGAAAATTCAGGTGCTTCGTTTGGTAACATGGGTTGGACAACTGGTTGAGCAATTAATTTTGATTTCTTTGATCTTCTTCGTGATGAGCCTGAAGATGGAGATGGAACTATATTCTCTTCTTCGACACTTATTTTGCTCACTTTAGCATCTTCCACTTTATAATCACTAGGAGATATTATGTCCCAATAAAATGTCAGCTCTTTCTTCTTATCATCACCACGACCATTTTGAAGACACTGAAGCATAATTACTTGAGCAACATGTTCAATGTCCTGAATAGTTATGTGTCTTTTGAAAATACCAGTCTCAAGGTATTTATCCCATCGTCCCCAACCATAACAAAGTAAACCTTTCTCGACTTGATAACATTCTGCTTTGGTCCAATTACCAGGTGCAAAGTCTTCCATAAACTCATCTTCTCGTTCACGACCTCGTTTACCTTTCTTCAACTTGAACTTAGTTTTTCCTCCACGAGTTCGGGTTGAAACATTCTCTTCATCCTCATCACTGGAATCAGCATCAGAAATCTCCAACATTTGCTCATCTTGACCAAATCTTTTGGTTTGTGTTCGACGTCGAGGTTCTTGGACGATTAAATCATTTTTACCAGTCAACTCATCTACATCAAGTTGAGCCTTCTTTGCCCATTTTTCCCAGAAATTAGGATCATCTATTTCAATGTCAGATCTATTATCGGAAGCAGCAAAAGATGCTTTAGAGAAAGTACTTCCTTTCTCTTCGCTTTCCAAAGTAATAATTTGGGTTCTACGTTGTAAAATTTGCTCAATGTCTTCTTCACAAAATTTGTCACCAGCATTATCATCGTCCATGATGGCTCCATAAGCTCCTTTTCGGAGTAAGTCTTCTACATCACTCTTTGAAAGGCCATTCTCACCTAAGCCAGCTGCATTGGAATTCATTGATTGTAAAACAGCTCGATCCAAACCAAGCTTCAAAGAAGCCTTGTCAAACATTTCACGTTCATAGGTGTTACGACAAATCAATCGATAAACTTTAACCATCTTTGATTGACCAATACGGTGACAACGAGCTTGTGCTTGTAAATCGTTTTGAGGATTCCAATCAGAATCAAAAATTATCACAGTATCAGCTGCAGTCAAGTTGATACCAAGACCACCAGCTCGGGTACATAATAAAAACACAAATCGATCAGATCCTGGTTTTGAAAATCTGTCAATTGCTGCTTGTCTCATGTTACCTCGAACTCTTCCATCGATACGTTCAAAGGGATACTTCTTCTGACATAAATAATCCTCTAAAATGTCCAAACAACGAACCATTTGAGAGAAAATTAATACTCGATGTCCATCTGCTTTCAAACGAGGCAACAGTTTGTCAATAAGCACAAGTTTACCAGATGCATGGACAAGTGCATCAAGAAGAAAAGTTGGAGAATCTCCTTTATTCTGCTTGTATTCATGAATTATTTGTTCTTCGGCTCCATTAATCAGGTAAGGATGAATACAACATTTTCGCAGTTCCATCATAGTATTCATCAAATTTGGAACATTAGTTTTACTATTTCCTTTGGTCAAAAATTGGAAATTTCTTTCCAAAATAGCTCGATAATATTTCTTTTGTACATTAGTAAGTTCAACCTCAATGATGGTCTCTTCTTTAGGAGCTAAACTCTTTTCAACATCTTCCTTCAATCTTCTCAACATCATTGGTTTGAGAAGAGCTTTCAGTTTATCAACTTGATCTTCAGTCTTGAGATCACCAAATTCGGCCATAAATACTTCAGAAGATGAAAATTGATTTGGTTCAAGGAAATTAAGTAAACTAAACAATTCTTCTACATTATTCTGTAATGGTGTTCCAGTAAGAAGAACTCGATGTTCCATATTTAAAAGTCTTAATCCTTCGAGTAATTTACAATTTCGATTTTTCAATCGATGAGCTTCATCAATGATACAAGCTCTCCAATGGATTTCACGAAGTTCAAGGCAATCAGTGAGAACAATTTCAAAGGTTGTTATCATAACTTGAAACTTGTAAAAACCTTCATGTCTTTCACCATTCTCTTTCTTGTAATACATTTCATATTCTTGTAACATATTACGACTTGCTGAGCTTCCATGATAAGTAATAACATTAAGATCAGTCCAAGTTTCAAACTCACGTTGCCAATTGCCGATAGTTGAAAGTGGGGCAATAACTAGAAAAGGTCCAGTAACTCCATATTTGAACATTTCTTGAATAAAAGAGATTGATTGAATGGTTTTACCAAGACCCATTTCATCGGCAAGAATACAATTTCGACTGAAATGAAAAGACAAACAAACAAAAATCAAATTGATATTCAATCCATAAAAGTTATCCAATAAAATATAATAATTAAGGATAATTTTGCTTATTTGACTTACCCATTATGCCAACAAAACATTAACCAATTAACTCCTTCTAATTGATACTCTCTCAAAGTATTGCCTGCTTTATAAGCAGGAGATGAGTCCAATTTTTTCCATTCATTGGCTTTAGGTCGTTTCTTCGGTTTCCATTTATCTTTTGGAGGTGGACTTTTAAACTTCCAAAAATGAGCGATTTTCAAAGGATCTAAATCATCTTCGAGTTCCCAAGTACTTTCTTCGTAAGGCAATGCTCTCCATTTAACTAAATAATGACGAGTTGTTTTCTTTCGTAAAACTTTCTTCTTACGTTTAACTGGTAGTACATTTGATTCACTTTCAACTGGAACTTTATTTTCGATATTTTCCTTTGATTCGTCTTTAACGTCGTTTAATTGACTTTCATCAATTTTAACTTCCTTCTCGGTAATTATTTGATCGTCTTCTGGTTTTTCTTGTTCCTCGCATGGAATTTCATCTTTCTTTTCACCAGAATTATCAACAGACGGTTCTCCAATTACCTCGGCAGAGATATTTACATCGATATTGGTATCTATCGTTTTGGCAATTTCTTGATCAGATTTATCTTCAGTAGCTTCCGAAACATTTTCAGATTCAAAAGATTCGCTTTTGGTCTGTTGTTCATCACTTTCAGCTACTTTCATTTCAATTTCTTGACTTTGAATTTCAGTGTCACCTTGTTTTTCGTCTACACAAGGCTCATTTGTGGGATCAGTCTCGATTTTAAGACCAACTTCATCGTCAATTTTGTTGTCAGCTTCGATCTTAGATTGTAAATCACTAGATTCTGGCATTATGGGAACAGCAGCAATTGTAACTCCTGTATCTATTGATTCACATTTCATTTTCTCAGATTCATCACCTTCTTCAGTTTTACTTTCTGGATTCAAAATAACTGGTAATATATCAACTTTAGTGTCACTTCGTGAATCTTCGTCGTCGTCATCGACTTCGACTTCTTCTTCAATTGTCTCTTCAATTTCTTGAACATCCAAAATACGATCCACTTCGGTATAATCAGGATTAAAAAGTTCATCATCCAAGAAATTTATGTCAATTTCACTTTCCTTCTTTTGTTTCCATCTTTTAATTTTTTGATTTACTCTTTTGTCTCCCATTTCAAGCTCTTCTTCAGTTCTCCATTCACAATGAAGATAAGAGAGATTCTTGTATTTTACATAATACTCTTCCACTTGAATGGTTTGTACTCCATTCAGATCTTCACCTTCTTCTGCCTCAAGTTCTCGTTCACCCATTCGTGAGCTCATAATCTTCTCAACAACCATTGTATCTTCACTGATTTTGGTCACTTGAACATTGCTATCAATAATTTTCTTGTCACTTGGTCCTATTGATCCATCTAGCTTAGCAGCTTCCAATGGATCTGCATCATCAGCTGAAAGGTCTAAATCAATATCATCCGTGTACTTTTGTCGTTTAGTATTACGAGCACTTCTACGTTTTAATGCTGCACTGTCAGGATCTTCTGGAGACGGTGGTGGTGTCTTTTCAATGTCTGATGCATCTGAAGATCCAAGTCGCTTTCTTTTCTTTGATTTACCAAATTTAAGCGCCAATTTGGGTAATTTCTTTTTACTTTTACCAGAATCATCTTTCAATTTTGGTTTTGCTCTACTTGGTCTCTTTTTCTTTCCGGAAGATTTTGATTTGGTCAAAGAAGTATCTTCAATGTTTCCCAATGATCCATCAAAAGTTGTATCTTCGGGTGCATTTTCAATCTCACCAATCAGTGGAACACTGATTTCACCTTCAACTAAAGTATCATCACTTGGTTTTACTTCGTCTTCTTTCTCTTCTTCATTTACTTTCTTTTTTGGCTTCTTCTTCTTCTTCTTCTTACTTTTCTCTGGATCATCAGCTGGTCCTTCTATAATAGCACCAACTTCACCAAATTCTTCTCCTGCATCTTCGTTTTCTTCTTTCTTCTTTCTTTTCCGTTTCTTCTTTTTACTCCCTTGACCATCTTCCGAAAAAAAAGTCTGATGACCACCTTCACTCATAAAAGGACCTTCATCAAAAGGAACACCATCCTTCATATCTTTAGCTTTTCTTTTCTTGGCTTTCCTTTTAACTGGTGTACTGGAAGGAGTTTGTTCTTCATTAAACTCCATTTTACTAATAACAACACTATCATCACAGCTATTTTCTGGTAATTGTGGCGGTAAATCAGGAGGTGGAGGAAGTAACTGAGGAGCTTCAACTGGTGGTGGTGGAGTTGAACTTTGATTTGGAAAATTTTGATCCATCGATGATAAATAATCTTTGTGCACAAAACTTTCGTTGCAAAGCTCTTGTTGCTTTGATTCTTGTTGTTGATGTGGTTCGTCACTATGCTGCTTAGGTTCATCTTCATGTGATTGTTGCTGTTGCTGTTGCTTTTGTTGTTGTTGTTCATCTTGATTTATATTTACATTTTGAGTCATTGAGCTTTCATCTCCCGTCACACCGAAAAAATTTCCACTTGTAGTATCAGTTAAATTTGGATCATGAAATGCATTACTTGTATCATTCATATCACCAGGTTGACCCTCATTGCTACCTGTACTATTAATTGTTTCAGATGAAGAAGATTGAGTCATTGTTTCATCACGCAATGATTTAGAAAAATCATTCTCCACTGTATTATCATTCGATAATTCAAGTTGTTGAGTTTGTCCAGCACTTGTTTCCTCGATATTTTTATCTAAATGTTGCTTTGGTTCTTGTGATTGCTGGGACTGCGGTTGTAACTGTTGCATCTGTGATTGTTCCTGTGGTTGTGCTTGATGTTGCATTATATCAGGATCTTCATCAGTTAGTGTTTGTTGAGGATGTTGTGGTTGATTAAGTTGTGGAGATGCATCTTGGACGTGTTGAGAATCGTAAGACATTGGACCATCAGGAGGCAATGGTTTATAAGTTGCTTGTTCATTAACTGGAATTCTTGAAGGATCAGGAGGAGGAGGATACATCATTTCATTTGATAAATCTGGACGATGTTGAAAGTCAGGTGGTGGTAATTGACCATACATGTCTTGACTATGAGGATTCATTTGATGGGGAAGTGGAGCATGTTGAGGAGGTGGAGGTGGATAAGACATTCCTCCACTCATATTAGAGTCCATACTCATTTGGCTACCAGGTCCTGGGTATGGTGAACCTGAACTCATTACATTTGGATACATTTCATTTGGATTACCACCCATTGAATATGAGTTATCATAACCAGGTGTCATAGAGCCAGGCATAATGGGTGAAGGTTGTATTGGTGATGCGCCCATACGAGATTCAGGGGAGCTTCGCGCTCCTCTTCCTCTACCTCGAGTACCAGCTCCTTTAGGTGCTCTAGGAGCTCGAGGTTTCTTCTCTTTCTTGGGTTCAGATGGATCTTTCCTTGGACGACCTTTACCCTTCTTCTTAGCTATTGGTGGCTCTTGATCAAAAGTATCACCATATGGATCATAATTTTGACTCATGTCATTATTTACAGAACCACTTCCATATTCATTTTGATTCATTTGGTTTCCCATCATTCCTGGAGGCATTCCTGGACCTTGATTATAATTCTGACTATACATCATTGAATCAGGACCCATGTATGATGGATTCATACCACCATCATTGCTCATATTCATATCATAACTTTGATTATAACCACTACCATAATCCCAACTTGACTGAGGTTGAGATCCTGGTTGTTGATTCGAGTACATTGAATTATCTGATGATGATGATTGTTGTTGTTGCTGTTGTGGTGCTTGCTGTTGACCCATACCGTAACTCGGTTCATTAGGACCAGACATGTAATTTGAATGGTATCCAGAATCTAATCCTGATCGACTAGGTGGACCAGGAGGATTCATATTTTCTTGAGATGATCTTGTTGTTAATGTTTCATTTGATGGAGTGTTTGTACGAGAATTTCTGTTATCTCCACCAGCATTCGATGAACTTGATAAAACACTATAAATATTAGAATTCGATGTATCATTCCCTTGTTGTTTATCATTGTCACCTTTACTTTCAGAGCCACTATCATCTTTAACAATTTGTGGTGATCCAAAAGAAGATGTCTTATTTGCTTCGATATTCCGGAAATTGAATGGAGACATCGGTTGTTGAGATTGCTGATTAGAGCTTGAATTACGAGGAGACATTACATTCTTATTTACAATGTCTTGCTTCGAGCTTGACTGGGTTTGATAATTTGAATTATCGATAGAAGGAGAGCTTGCAGAGTAACTCTGGTTATCAAACATGGAATATTGCTGTCCAGTCATTGAGTTTGAATTATTATTAGACGTTGTTGACGTCATCGTGTTGGGACCGACAGATTGACCAGTCGATGCTACATAATCAAAGACAATAAGGAAATAAAATTATAAAAAAATAAATTATTAGTAATTGACAATAATTAAAGACAAAATAAAGTATCAACATTATTCAATTGAGTTAAAGAAAGTTCAAGAAAATTTCACTTTCTTGCTATTATTTCCTCCCAAATGATAATGAGTGATCAATAATAAAGTAGCTAATAGATATGAATCATCATATTTTAAACATTATAATCATTATATCTTTATATTATAATATTTATAAATTATGCATATAATTTTTTCTCTACTTACTCAGAGTTCTAGAGATACCAGGGGATGGAACTTCTTTACTTTGAGATTGTGTGTCAATTTGAGATGCTGGTGAATACGGTATCGATGAATTCATAGGTGATTGAGTATTTGACATGGAGTTTGAGCCTTGACCAGTTGTTGGTTGACTTCCTGCAGTTGGTGGTCTCCATGAAGAAGAGTTATTTGGTGGATAACCTGAGTTACCATAATAATTTCCAGAGCCTGATGAAGTTGGCGATGGTGATGGAAATCTTGGATACATATTTGATGTTGATTGTTGATCTGACTTTTGAGCTTGTTGTTGTTGCTGCTGCTGTTGAGGTGCATGAATATTGCTTCCAGACATTGTTGGATAATATTGATTGGAAGAGCTGCTGTTGTTTGACGATGAAGATGCCGATGAGATTATCGAAGATATTGAGTTAATTTTATTTGTTGGAGCCGCTGTTGATGAAGACGAATTAAGGTGAGGCATGACCATTTGTTCCAATTGTTGAAGACTACTAATTGGCGTTGATTGATGTGAAGTTACAGGACCATGAGATGATTGTGATGCTGATGCAGATGCCGATGATGATGATGATGATGATGATTGGGATGCTGGTGCTGATGCTGAAGATGAAGATGCATTGTGAGATGATGATTGAGATGCTGGTGCAGATGAAGATGCTGTTACTGAGGAAGATGATGATGATGAACCTGGAGGAGGAGCAGGTAAACCACTTGATTTTGTAGCATTATTATTATTATTATTATTGGTACTACTATTACCAGGAGAAAGTCCTGAGTTAGGACTTGTTAATTGACCCGAGCTTGGATAACTATTTGTTGGACCTGATGTTGACAATGTTGTTGTACCTCGATCCGGTGTTCGTGATGTTGGTGGCATCGGAGAGCCTGCTGGTGGTGTTGGTGTTGGCCTACGAGGTGACATACTAGCTAATGAAGATGCACTAAATGGTGGTCGATAACCTGGACTGTTGGGTCCAGTATTTTGACCACTTGTCGATCCTGGACCCATAGTGTAGGGTGACAGTCGACTTGAACTATCACCATATCCTTGACTCACACTATAACCTTGATATTGTTGTCCTGGATAGTTCATTGAACCAGGAGTGTTACTAGATAACATACCTGCAGCACTCGATGAGCCTGGACCAGCTGAAGGATAACCCAAAGATGTATAATGTGGTTGTCTAGAGTTACTGTTTGCACCGATTGAATTTGGATCAGGTAATCTAGATGATCCTGAGTTTCCTGGTACATTTTGACTATTATAAGACGATGTTAAATATGGTGACATCGATGATGCTTCGGATGGAATGAAACTAGTCAACGAGGAACTTGGTGCAACTCTATCATTACTAGAACTGTAATACGGTCTGGTGGGTTGAGCTTGTGACTGCGATTGTTGTTGTTGTTGCGATGACTGTTGGGTTGGTAGAGGCTGATGAGATTGCTTAGTTGGTTGCTGCGAGTGCAGAGAGCCATAATCACTGGCACTATGTCCAAAAGGAGGTGGTGGTGGAGGCTGTTGCTGTTGTTGTTGTTGTTGTCGATTAGATCGACCACTAGTACTTGTATGAGGATGAGGTGGTGGTGGTGCAACAGAACTTGCAGGATTATATCCGTATGGAGGTCTTTGTTGTACATGACTCATTCCTTGATTGTGCCAAATTCTTGCACTAGGTCCACTTGTTGGTCCTGGACCGTACGAAGATGGATATGATCCTGGGTATCCACTTCCTGGGCCTGGTCCTAGTATCGGTGACAACATTCTTTGATCATTATAACCACTCATTAAACCACGATTTTGATAACTATTAGAACTTGATAACTGTGTTAAACTGGATTGAGGCACTATTCCTCCATTGTGTTGTGACATTCCACCCAGAGAAGATGGTCCGCCTGGTCCACCACCCATGCCTGGTACTGGATAACCACTATTACTGTGACCATAACGAGAATCATGTGTAGGATAATGACCACTTCTCATGGCAGATTGTGCAGCTCCTCCAGGAAAACCACTACTTGCATATTGATCATGCATTTTTGACGCATCACCAAGACCAGATGGGCCGCCTAAATGTACCAAACCCGAACCAGAAGAACCTGGAGGCATACCGAATGGCGGTAAGGATCTTTGTGGTAATCCATGAGTGTTAGGACCTGCTTGGAAAACAAAACAAGCTTTAGTAAGTATATTTCATGTATTGGCAAATAGAAAAAAGTAAGCATGATTTTCCCACTGGATCAGCTGTAATAGTGTTTCTACAATTAAATAAATGATTTGTATCAACTATACACTACTTAAGTCTTATTTTTGTCTTAAACAAGCAACATTCACAGAAAAGATATTCAAAAACCTATATTTATGAAGCTAATTATGCAAAAGTTCAATATTGCTGCGAGAATCATCAACTCACCATGTGGAGGAATCATTCCATAAGCGGGACTACCAATACCCATTGATGTCATCACTGAGTTGTTTGATCCAGGAGGTTGTGGTTCAGGGCCTCCAGGATTACTATTCGATGGATTACCAGTAAGCCCATAACTGGGATGGTATCCTAAAAAGACACAAGACAATACAAACATTTAATTGATTAGATAATCATGAATGTCAAAGATAAAAGTCAATAATAAATTAGTAAAAATACTCACCGAAGCCATCACCAAGCAGCTGGTAGTTGGACATTGACAGTGGGAATTGAATTCCTTCAGTTCAATATACAAGTTAACCAATAAACAACCATCTTATTTAAGACCGGCAATGTAAACATTAGAAATAACCTCCAATCATTGAATAAATACTTTTAAAACCATGTGATTTAAATATTTTTGTCGTTAATTAAATAATAGATTTACAATTTATCACAATTTACATTTGATTTTACTAATAATGGTGGTTATGAATTCAGCGGTTAGATGAATAAAAATTTATTAAACTTGTTCCTTAAGCCTGTAGACAGAGATAGTAAAAAGATGTTATGATGAGAAAGAAAACAAGAAAGGGGATGGAAAGGAGATAGAGAATGAGCATTTGTATGTAGAGACACCAGAAAAAACCAAACAATTAATGGGTTGTTATTAGGAGTTTGGTATTGTAGAAGATAGGTAAAGAGGGGGAGAATAAGAGAAATGAGAAAATAAGAGAGACATGAGAGTGTGTGTATGAGAGAGAAAGAGAGAGCAAGCTGCAGGAAAGGGAAAGATGAAAGACAGAAGTCACTGATCTTCAGATCATCCAAGGAGGAGCTAATAAGCTTTTACAAATTTCTCATAACAAAACTCTGAGTTAAATTTTATCATTTATTCAACTGATAATTTCTATAATAATGCTGTCAATTAAATTATTACATAATCAATTTCATAGCACAGGATTTCATTTAATATTCAACTAACAATATCATTTGTACATTCAAGTTTCATGTAAAAAATCAACAAGATTTCAAATTGATCCGTAAAAAATATGATAAAAGCTCTTAGAGTATAAATAATTTCAAGATCAATCAGACCATCATGAGAATACTATAAATATGACAAAATGGTATCATAAATAATGAGATGAAAAGATGAGAAATAATCAAAAAACTATAAGCCGCAAAAACCATTTCAATAGGTAAAAATAAAATGTTTGTAAACAGAACATGAAAAGGCTGAAAATCTATCATTATTTTTAAAAATTCGTTTTATGTCAATTCTAGATATGCTTATCATTAATAATATAAAATATGATTGAACAAAATAACTGCTAATCAACATAACAATTTAATTTTTCTCTTGTTTTACATTTTTCATACTCATTTCTTCTCTTCTTCTTCAGCTCCAGCTTCTTTTCTTCCTCTCTCCCCTTTACAACACACACACAATTTCAAGCTCTCTTCTAGATCCAAGAGATGAAATGGTTTAAAAACCTTACTTACCTATCAAAGTATTAACCATCAAATTTTTTTATTTTATGTTGTCCAACTTATGTTGATTTGTTTACACAATAGAAACACTATTAAGCATAATTAAACAATTTACTTTAAATTAAATAAATGACAATTACCAATGTATTAAACCAAATCTTGAATGGATAATAAACCCTATCGGAGTAGTCAGCAACCATTTCAGTTTGACACATTAGTATTAACGCCATCTACTATATGCAACTTTATCTAATTTTACTTTAAAATGTTGATTTCACTTTTACCTGCAAAAAAATTGCGCTGGTTTTAAGTAGATTGTCAGGTAAATGGGCATTCTTCATCAATCTAGTGATGCATCGAAGAATAATTGTTGATGTGGAAGTTAGAAGTAAATTTTTCTCGAAAATGATATCATACTGCAGTTCCTTATACAAAGAGTCCTTATTGTCGAAGAAATGATTATTATAAGCGATATTATTCTTGAAATATCAATGCAAAATGGCCAAATCAAGAGAAATGTCGAGAGATAGATCGAAAGAAATGTCAGTGTGTCAGTTCAACTCTTCATCTATCACCATAATCAAAGCGAACCGTTTTCCCGTAAATCGAAGAGCTGTTGTTGAATAATGGCTTCTATTTCCTACTAAATTAAGTACATTTGTTTAGTTGTACCTAACCCTGATTGTGATTAAAAGTAAATGAGAAATCAGTTTTGTAAGAAAAAATTAGTTCTATCGATTGTACAAAACGCTATCGAAATCCGTACTTTAACGAGATTTTATTAATTTTATATATACGGCGATTTATTAATTCTTCTGAGCCACAGTTTTTGAGGAAATCGAGTCCAAAGTTATAACTTCGATCGCCTTTTATGCAATTATGAAGGCAGATTTTTCCACGAAACTACTTTGCAATCATTAAGCTTTTGATGCTTAACCTGAAAATGTACTAATTTAGAGAAATGAAGTTTTCTATTTTCTGTAAAGCAGATCATTTCGGTTTTCATTTAAACCTGTCGCATTTTATGACCGTAGCCATTAGACAGCCCAAACTTAGTATTTGTCGATAAAAAGTAATAACAAACACCATGAATCGAACACTCAGCACAATTTCGCAACAGTTATCTTGATATTGACCATTAGACTGCGAACTTTGAACATCGATATTATATGAACAGCGTAACCTAGAACCAACATTTCTTGACCAAACATTAGGTTTTATTGTGGACTGTTACTTTATTAATTTTAGATCACACAAATAAGTTATAATATTGGACTAGTTTTGATGTTGCATTTGAGACCTGAATTATAAAGTTAAATGTTTTCTCAAACCCAAACTGACACAGATTGGCAGAAATGGACAGAAATCTAGATTTTTACCTCTGGTGACTTGTAGGCCAATGCAAACTGTGTCCATATGTACGATTGAAAAATTTCCTTGATTCAGAGTTTTCCTGAAAATCGAGTTCGAAGTTATAACTTCGATCGCCTTTTATGCAGTTACGGAAGCAGATTTTTTCATAAAACTTCATTGCACTCATGTAGTTTTTGATGGCCAATCAGAAAATGTACTTGTTTTAAGAACTAAAATTTTCTTTTTCTGCATAATCGATCAAGTTCGATTCTCAGTTAAACCTGTCGTATTTTGTGATCGTAACAATTAAAAAGCTGAAACTTAATATTCATCGATAAAAATTGATGGTACACACTAATATTTGAACGTTTCTTCTGATTTCCTTACAGTTCTCGAGATTCTGACCATTGGTTTGATAACTTTGACCATCGATATTTCGATAATGGCATCACCTACAATCCCCATTCTTTGATCAAACATTAGATTTCTTATTGGTCATGCCATAAATGACAGAATATCCAAGAAAATCCATTTAATTCATTTAATAAACAATGTTCAGCTAACACATCATAAGATTTATTCTTATTTAGTTTTAGGTTGAATTTGGGTTTGAGAAAACATTTAACTTTATAATTCAGGTCTCAAATGCAACATCAAAACTAGTCCAATATTATAACTTATTTGTGTGATCTAAAATTAATAAAGTAACAGTCCACAATAAAACCTAATGTTTGGTCAAGAAATGTTGGTTCTAGGTTACGCTGTTCACGAAATATCGATATTCAAAGTTCGCAGTCTAATGGTCAATATCGAGATACCTGTTGAGAAGTTGTGGTAAGTGTTCGATTTATGATGTTTGCTATTAATTTTTATCGACAAATACTAAGTTTGGGCTGGCTAATTGTTACGGTCACAAAATGCGACAGGTTTAACAGAAAACAGAAAAGTAAAAATACACAATTAGAAATGCGAAGAATGCTTCGTTAATGAATCAAATGAAGATCGGGAAAAACTTTTGCGACATTTGTCTCTATTCAATCTAAATACAAAAGTGACCCAATGTGTGTTGAAGTTCTCACTCTGTACCTAATAGACTAACGAAAACAACCAGTTCAATTATTTGATTGAATAGATTTGTTAATAAAAAGACACAATTGTAACATTTATAAACAAATTGAATGAACAAAGTAACCCAAATGGGTTTAAACGAATGAAATAGATTTTCTTCAAATTTGGATTTTGTAGGTTTGTAGAGGAATGCATACTGAGTCCATTTATGCCATCGTAAGATTTCTCTGAGCCACAGTTTTCGAGAAAATCGAAGTCAAAGTTGAAACTTCGATCGCCTTTTATGCAATTATGGAAGCAGATTTTTCAGTCAAACTTCTTTATACTCATAGAGCTTTTGATGCTGAACCAGAAAATGTAATAATTTTGAGAGATAAAGTTTTAAGTTTTTTGTGAAGTGGATCATTTCGATTTTCAGTTAAACCTGTCGCATTTTGTGACCGTAACAATTAGACAGCCCAAACTTAGTATTTGTCGATGCAAATTAATAGCAAACATCATCAATCGAACGCTTATCACAATTTCTCAACAGTTATCTTGATATTGGCCATTAGCATGCGAACTTTGACCATCGATATTTCGTGAACAGCGTCACCTAGAACCATCATTCATTGACCAAACATTAGCTTTTATTATGGGCTGTTACTGTATGAATTTTAGATGGCATAAATAAGTTATAATATTAGTTTAGTTTTGATGTTGCATTTGAGACCTGAATTATAAAGTTAAATGATTTCTCAAACCCAAACAGACACAGATTGGCAGAAATGGGAAAAAATCTAGATTTTTACCTCTGGTGACTTGTAGGCCAATGCAAACTGTGTCCATATGTACGATTGAAAAATTTCCTTGATTCATAGTTTTCTAGAAAATCGAGTTCGAAGTTCGTACTTCGATCGCCTTTTATGCAATTATGAAAGCAGATTTTTTCATAAAACTTTTTCGTACATATGTAGTTTTTGATGGTTAATCAGAAAATGTACTTGTTTTAAGAAATAGAGTTTTCTTTTTCTCAATAATAGATCAAGTTCGATTCCCAGTTAAACCTGTCGCATTTTGTGACCGTAACAATTAGAAAGCTGAAACTTAGTATTCATTAATAAAAATTGATGGTACACACTAATATTTGAACGTTTCTTCTGATTTCGTCACAGTTCTCGAGATTCTGACCATTGGTCTGATAACTTTGACCATCGATATTTCGATAATGGCATCACCTACAATCCCCATTCTTTGGTCAAACATTAGATTTCTTATTGGCCATGCCATAAATGACATAATATCACAGAAAATTCATTTAATTCATTTAATAAACAATATTCAGCTAACACATCATAAGATTTAGGTTTGATTTAGTTTTAGATTGAATTTGGGTTTGAGAAACCATTTAGCTTTACTAACATTTGCAATAAATAAAATCTCAAATCTAAAACTAAAACTAAACTAATATCATAACTTATTTATGCCATCTAAAATTAATAAAGTAACAGCCCATAATAAAACCTAATGTTTGGTCAAGAAATGTTGGTTCTAGGTGACGCTGTTCACGAAATATCGATATTCAAAGTTCGCAGTCTAATAGTCAATATCGAGATACCTGTTGAGAAGTTGTTTTAAGTGTTCAATTCATGGTGTTTGTTATTACTTTTTATCGACAAATACTAAGTTTGGGCTGTCTAATTGTTACGGTCATAAAATGCGACAGGTTTAACTGAAAATCGAAATGATCTGCTTTACAGAAAAGAGAAAACTTTATTTCTCTAAATTAGTACATTTTCAGGTTGAGCATCAAAAGCTTAATGAGTGCAAAGTAGTTTCGTGGAAAAATCTGCTTTCATAATTGCATAGAAGGCGATCGACGTTTCAACTTTGACCTCGATTTCCTCGACAACCGTGGCTCAGAGAAATCTTACAATGGCATAAATGGATTCAGTATGCATTCATCTACAAACCTACAAAATCCGAATTTGAAGAAAATCTATTTATACTCGTTTAAACCCATTCGGGTTACGATGTTCATTCAATTTGTTTGTAAATGTTACAATTGTGTCTTTTTATTTACAAACCTATTAAATCAAATAATTGAACTGGCTGTTTTAATAATTCTATTATATACAGAGTAACAACTTTGGGTCATTTTTGTATTTAAATTGAACTGAGACAAATGTCATAAAAAGTTTTTCCCGATCTTAATTTGATTAATTAACAAACATTCTTCGCATTTCTAATTGTGTATTTTTAGTTTTATGTTTTTTGTAAAGCAGATCATTTCGGTTTTCATTTAAACCTGTCGCATTCTGTGACCGTAACAATTAGACAGCCCAAATTTAGTTTCGTCGATAAAAATTAATAGCAAACATCATCAATCGAACAATTTCCGCAATTTCTCTACAGTTCTTTTGATTTTGGTCATTGGCCGGAAAACTTTGAACATCGATATTTGGTGAATGGCATCACCTAGAATTATCAGACTTTTATAAAACAGCAAATTTTATTATTGGCTGTTACTGAATAACTTTCAGATCATACAAAAAAGTCATAACATTGGATTTGTAGTTATGATGATACAGTAATAACAGTTATAACATTGTACATTATTGGAGTTATCATTTTGTAGCTCCACATGCTTTTAAAGTTGATGAATTAATTCTACTCGTTTTTAAATATCAAGAAAAGCTCACAGAGTAACTCAGAGTAAACATAGCTCTTGACCAGCTTGAATAATTTCATAGATTGTAAATAAGTCAGATAATCAGATATCTGAGAGATAAATTCAAATTTATTTGGTCCAGTGTTGATTTGTCATGGATTAATGAAAAAACAATCAAACAATCAGTAAAATTTATGATATAAAATCAATTCAACTTATGTGAAAGAGTTAGCAAAAGTGTAGCTTAAAATGAAAATTTTGAAGCAAATTGAGCAGATATAGAATAATTTTTGAAAAAATGTTACATGATTTGATTAATTGTTCATAAAATCGAATAGAATTGAAATTATACGAAAATTTTGAGAAGACTTGTGAAAAATCAATAGTTTAAATCGAGATTAAAGTATCAATGAATGAAAAGGATAATACATAAACATTGCAATGGACATCAATAATGATAACATTTGTTGTGTGATAATTACGAAACATTCAACAAGAATAACATGTAAAATAGAAGTAAAAGATCAAGGGACAACTCTTTTAGGTTTGATTCCTTTGGCTCTCATGTACGAAATTAATTGATCAGGTACTTCATACAGTACATCTCTGGATAGTCCATCCATTGTTTGAAGCCAGACTCCACTAGAGCTGATATAATTACGAAGAGGTACAAATTGAACAATGTCACGAACAGCTTTCTTTCCATTGAATTCCAACAAATGATCATCAGAATCAAGTTCATCCATGGCAGAAAAATCATCGTTTCCAACACCAACAATGATTATTGATAGAGGTAAATGTGAGGCATCGATTATTGCTTGTTTTGTTTGCGGCATATCACAGATAATACCATCAGTAATAATGAGTAAAATAAAATAGCTGGTACCAGCGTCATATTGTCTAGCGATGGCAGCTGTACTTTTAATTACTGGAGCGAAATTAGTCGGTCCATAAAAAGTTACACGACCAACAGTTGATCGATAGTGCATAATGATTTCTTCAATTCCTTTGCAATAAGGATGGGTAACGTTGCCATTTAGAGGAAAATGATGGGAAACCAAGGCTTGAGGAGATAATTTAGCCCCAAATCCAAAACCAGGGTAAACATTAAGAGTGTTGTATGGCTTTAAAATTTCACCAATTGCATTCAAAGCCAATTCGTATGGATTAGGTTTACCTGATCCGATGAAATGTAATGATTCTGGATATCTTGGGTCACCGTTAGAAGCAGTAAAATCAATAGCAACCGCAAAATGTAGCTGAGTTCCTCCTTTAATATAATCAAGAAATGAAATTTCTTCTTCAATTTCTAGTCCGATAAGTTCCAAATATCCACATTTTGTTGATCTGTTTTTTGTATTACTCAGCTGTATAAATAAAGAAATAAAAGATATTAATTATTTTTTTACCATTTAGACGTAATAATTTCAAAAGACTTACAGTTAATTTACGTCTGGAAGGCTCGTTAAATCTTTGTGTCAAGTCATTAAGGGTTGTATTGAAAGAACCAATTAAGATGTGTGCACCAGACATTTTATATCTCATACAATCGATCCTAATGTTACGATCAAAATCTCCATTGCAAAGTGTTCTGGCTGTACAATGAATCATATTCCATTCAGGTTTATGAGAAGATGGGTGAACTTCAGTTTTATGGACTAGACTATATGACCCATCTTCAATGGACCGCCAAAAGGTGAGAAACGTTTGAGGTTTAGTGAAAAAACTTGTTCCGAGAATATCACAGCCTTTCAATTTGATATAAACACCCCGTTTACAATTGGCGATCTCCTCAGCAACCACACTGATAGTTCCTGCATTTCTGCCTCTTTCGTCTTTCAGAGCACCCACATATTCTCGTCCCTGAACGGCAACAATTTCAGCCAGGGTTGTCTCATGGTGACCAAGGAAGTCATTTGAAAGAGTATCAATATCCACTAACTCAAATTTCAACCTCTGAACGGTCTCAAAGTTGTAATTGACAACAAATTTGCGGACAAAATGAGGATTCAAATCATCATTGATAATTTCAGTTTTTCCAATCTCACGATAATCTTTCTCAGACAAGTGTTTCATGTACAAAGTACATTGTGGGTCACTTTTTGAAAAGGTGTCTTTGTTAGGAAGATTTCGACATGACACTGATAACTCCAGTTGAGTGGTAGGAATTGCTGAAGCTTTGGCACTATCCATTTTTTATATTTAATATTTGTTCAGTTATAATTTGATAGAACGTTACTCAATCACTTGGTTATTTCCAGTTTTTGATCGTATGGCGAAAGCTTGGGTCGAGCGATTATGGTTTCTATATTAATGAATAAATGAATAAATAAGCACAAATTGGATTAAATTGAACGAGCAGCAACAGATGAAAGGTTTAACTTACCATCAATTAGAAATAAGAAACATTGGTGACGAAAATAATAATGACTCACAAGAGATTAATTTTGCAGATAACGGAAACATGACTGATTAATTTTTAATATTCTAGTGTGAATATTGATTAGGATTCATTCGAATTAGCAAAGATTGATCTTGATTAGGTAAGGGTACATGCAGCAATTTTAGTTTTGATCAGCAATGATGTTATTATGGTTAACATTTAGTAAAAAATAAACAATCCGAGAAACCATTGCTGATCCTGATCCAAAACAACCAGATGCTTTACTAAAATCGCTTATTTACTCGGTCTCTATTATGCGTATTAATTTTTTAATTTCCTGGACAATTTTTAATTGCCCAGCAGAGGCAGAAAATTGAATTAATTTTATCTTATTCAATAAATTAAATTCGTCTTTAGGATCAATCAACAACAGATACAGATATCAAAAGATACTACTGTTTTCACTTTCTTTTTTCTCTTTCTCCCACAAATCAAGGTTCATTTGATCTTGAAAACTGACAGTGAGTTTCGAAGGAAATATTTTCACTAAACTATTCCCTCATCATATTCAATTTAAATTTAATTTATATGAAGTATTTGAATATTTCGCGGAATCGAGATTTCGGTAAAAATAGTATTTTGATATCGTTTTACACGCCACTTTCACAACAACCAGAACTGTGAACAACCAGGATTGCCAACATTACTGATTATTACTCCGACATTATTAACGCTTACTCTACGACCATTAACACTGCAACCTGTTCAATTTTATGCATTCAAAGATAATTAAGAAAATTTTCATCGTCAATTTTATTTAATTTATTATAAAAAAAGTTAAATAAGCTGATATTGGAATAGGATATACAATGATGAGATGATTTTTGATAATTGATAATGGTATGAACTTTTAAATGCTGAACTTTTAAATGCCTTCTTATACTGAATCATGGAAATTTTTAAATGCGAGTTCCATTAATAAATAAAATCATACTGAATGAATTTACATTGTTGATTGCCAATGTGAATAAATTATGAGACTCATCGTCATTTGGTATTATTATTAGCTGTCTCATATTTGCTGAACACTATTTACTAGTAGTCGTCCTCATCAGTTGAGAGATCAACATCATATCTAATTGGTTTTTTAGATCGACCCATCCTTGTGGATGACATAAAATTAGAAATGCAAATTTCGGGTTCTTCAGGAGGTTCATTGGTTTCAATAATTGATGCCTCAGAATCGGATGATTCGATCTTTTTCGGCTTCCTAGCAGGTTTTTTAGCGCTTGGTTTTTTACTCTGAAATTAATAAAAAAATAAAATGATGAGTAAATATAGAGAAGATTATTAAAAATTTAGAAGCTGAAACTTACTTTTTTAGAGGAAACTTCGAAATCGGAATCATCTGAGACAGGGTCTTTCTTTTTGCGCTTAGCTGGAGTTGCTTTTACTTTAGTTTTTTTGGGCTCTTTCGAAGAACCATTGACACTTTTAGAAGTAGAAAGATGAGGTTGGGGCGAACTTATGTCTACTGTTTCATGATTTTTTCCATTTGTGGATATGTCTGGTGAATATGATCGTTGTGAAGATGATTGAAGTATTGGTTCAGGTGATGACGGTGAAGGTGGGCTGACTGAATATGGAGATGATGGTTTATTTGAAGTACTTAAATTGCTGCTATTGGACGGCTTTGAGCCAAAAACATTATCAAACAATTGCTCACTTGTCACATTTTGAGATGTTTTCGCTGGTTTCAAGGAAAGAGAATCAACACTGCTACCAGAATTGAATCTAACTTTTGATTTAGCTTCCTGAATTGATTCTTTTTCCCATGAATAAGGTGCACCAGTCCGATCTTCTGCACTCTTTTCTAAAGGAGGTGGAGGAGAGTCTGCGGGTTCATGATAAGGTGGCGGACTGGATCTTCTTGAAACTTTAGGTTTTTTCACTGGTGTTGTAAAAGATTCGTAATCATCATCAGAAAAATCATTATCAGGTGGTGAGTCAGTTTCATCTTCATCTTCAGAACCAGATGACCAAGGGTTTTTAGTTTTACCTTTGGAAGCAGATCCTTTCTTTTTAGTCTTTGAACCATTGACAGATTTCTTTTTCGGTGTAGAGTCAGATGTTTTACTTGCTTTGGGTGTTCGAGGTTTAGCAACTTTCGGAGTATCACTTTTTGTTGCTGTGGGTTTCCTTTTAGCTTCAACCATTTCAGGAGTTAATCCTATTCTTTCTGCTAAAGATTTGTTCAAGTCAATGCCGAGATCATCGTCAGAATCTTTATTTTCTTCATCTTCATCATCTCTTCCTTCATCTATTCCTCTAGTTTTCTTCAATATCTTTTTAGCACTCTCATTCAGTGCATCCTTCCTTTTGTAAGACTCGTAATCAATAGTTGGTGGTATTTTTCTAGCATTTTCAGAAGGTTTTGTATCGGAAGAAACAAGATTAGCTTTTCGACCTTTACCTTTAGTCTGTTGACTTTTAAGTGGACTTTTCAGCATTACCGCCTTCTCAGCGTCTTCTTTTTCCTTATCTTCTACTTTTTCTAATTCCATGAGCAAATCATCCAAGTCTCTGAGCCATAAAGTTTCTGGACTTATCTGTCTCAATTCGTCCAGTTCAGCCTTCTTGGTGTCTCGTTGTTTCAATAGTTCATCGACTTTCTCTTTCAACATGCATCTCATTGTCATGTCCAATAAATAGTCATAATCAAAAGCTCCAGTGGGCTCATCAGTTACACGCTCATCTTCATCATTGTCAAAATCACCTTCGGTTAAATTGTTTTTTGCTTTCCAAGCTTTTACTGGATCAGTATCATAACCTCTCTCAATCAATGTACGAACTAAATCTTTTTTCTTGACATTTTCCAGCTTCAATCTACCTTCATTTTTCTCCAAAATGAAACGAGCTTGATTCATTAATTTCAGCGCTTCTGCTTCCAACATTCCCTCTAAATAAGCTTTTCTCTTTTGATAATATTCCAATCTGACTTCATAAAACTCTTTCAAAATATCTTCTGGTGTTTCATATTTTCTTATACACCCATTGTGGTCAAATAAAACCATTGAAGTTGTCGAAAAAGTGGTTTGAAGTTTGAATACTTTGTGAATTCCTTGTTCTTCTGCTCGAGCCAAATTTTCAGGAGTCATTGAAATGACAAACTTGACCGTCACGTCAGTGTGATATTCTTTATAATCAGTTATAAATGGTTGCGTTTTATCAGTTCCTCGAAGCATAGGCTCGAGAACATTCTCTTTGTAACTCTGTGTCCATGTACGAACAGGAAGCTCTGTGATTTCTATCCTACAATCATCAAGAGCTGAAACTTCTCCACTTACAACATACCTCTGATGATCAACTTTATCAATTGATCCACGAAAACCTTTAAACCAAGGTTTTAATGGTTTGAGTTCGTCCCCGGAAATGAGTCGCTTCAAATTCTCGATAAGATCTCGAGGATTGAAATTGGGAATTTTTGTACTCCAACCTGTACCAATACCTTCAGCACCGTTCACCAAAACCATTGGAAGAACTGGTACATAATATTCGGGTTCAACTTTACTGTTATCATCATATAGATAATTGAGTAAAGGATCATCAAGTATGGGAAATATTTTACGAGCTAATGGACTTAACTTAGTGAAAATGTAACGAGGACTGGCCGCATCTTTACCACCAAGTAAACGTGTACCAAATTGACCAAGGGGCATGAGAAGGTTAATATTGTTGCTTCCAACAAAATTTTGAGCCAAATTTATAATAGTTGCCATAAGTGAAGCTTCACCATGATGATAACATGAAACTTCACCAACTGTACCAGCCAATTGAGCAACTTTGATTTCTTTTTTAAGATTTCGGAAAAAGCATGAATAAAGTACTTTTCGTTGTCCTGGTTTAAGGCCATCCATCATGGATGGAATAGATCGTTCATTATCCAAGTTACTGAAAAGTACTAACTCTTTGTTGACAAAATCTTTATAAGTAACAGTTTTAGTCTCTTTTCCATAAAGATAAACTTCAGGTAAACCCAATTCTCGACGGCGTTTCCTATCTTCCATGCTGTTAGTTAACCAATCTTTTCTTTGATCAACCATCTTTTTACTAAATGCTAATAAAACCGAATGATCGTCTTCAGGGCCTTGATACTTGAACAAGATACGATGTCTTTCTAAATCAGAAAAGTATTCTTTAGCTTCGTTACCAGTTGATGTACCCAAACCCTTGTAGTATTTTACATTCCATGTTTTCCAATTTGGAGTTTCTTTCTTCCATTCTTCCAGCTCGGGTAGTGAATAAAAGGACTTGACCATAGTTCCTTTTCGAGCTCGTACAATGGGAGTTATAAATTCTTCCAAGTATGGCAATTTAACTAAATTAGGCCAATTATGGTGGATAAAGTTGATGAGTAAACCCTTAATATGAGAACCATCTTGATCTTGATCAGTCATAATCATCAGTTTACCATAACGCAGGGTTTTCAATTCCGCTTCTGATTCGTATTTTTTACGATAATCGAGTCCAGTAATTTTTATCAAATTTTGAATTTCGGCATTGTTAAGAATTTGTTTGTGGTTTGCTTCACGAACATTGAGAAGTTTACCTTTCAAAGGGAAAACACCATATTTATCTCTTCCAATAACACTGAAACCAGAGTTGACAAGACTTTTTGCAGAATCTCCTTCAGTTAAAATAAGAGTACAGTCAATTGATCGAGGACCACCGGCATCATTAGCGTCTTCCAATTTGGGTATACCAAGTAAGCGCGACTGTTTTTTAGCTGAACACTGACTACCTTTTGCTTTCTCAGCTTTGGCCATTGCTACAACCAAAATGGCTTCAACTATTCCAATTTTCATAGCTGAGTTGAAAAATTTGTCACTCGGTGAACATTTAGAACCAAATTTTTTCATCTGAAGAGTCATATTTTCCTTGGTTTGAGAATCGAAAGATGGATTTTCAACGAGACAATTAACAAATACCCATAAATGCGATTTTATCATGTGCGGTTTAACATCGACTTTGGCTTTATTCTTTTTCTTGATTGCTTCAGTAAGTTTTGGAATTATTTGATCGACAACATGATCAACATGTCGACCTCCTTTTGTTGTAGCTATGCTATTAACAAAACTGACCTGTTGAAAACCACGATCACTGAGCGTTACAGCAATTTGCCATCTTTCATGGCAATCTTCATAAGCCATCTTTAATGGACTACCACTTTCATCCATTTTATCCTTTATGTATAAATCTACATAATCTTTGAAGTTTTTAACAGGCAATCTTTTACCATTTAGATACACTTTAACTCCCTTCGAAGATCCAGCTATATCCCAAACACGACGAGAGAAAAGAGCAACAATGTCTTCATCGAGTCGATCCATACGAAATTTTGATAAATCAGGATAAAATGTTACGCGCGTAAAATCATCACCAGTAGCAGGCACAATTTTAGCATCAACTGGTTTAGACATGTTATTTGTCCAGGTTTGTTTAAATGCCAGTTTATATTCTTTGCTTGATGTTTCAACTACAAACTTATTACTGAAAATGTTGCAAAGCTTAGCACCATAACCATTTCTACCGCCAGTCACTTTTCGCTCATTATCGTCATAATTAGAGGAAGTTAATAAATGGCCAAAAATCATAGTTGGAACGTACATTTTTTCATCTTTATGCTCCACAACTGGTATACCTTTTCCATTGTTATAGATTACTATTTTATTCTCTTCTCTATAGATACAAATATAAAAGATTGAAAATTACCGATACTTTGAAAACAGAAACTATTTGAAAATAATATCCAACTTACGGTTTAATGTCGACTCTGATTATGTCCATGCCGGGGTCTCTTTGTTTATTATCAGCAGCGTTAACCAAGATTTCATCAAATATTTTATATAAACCAGGAACAAAAGTGATTTTTCGATAAACCATTCCAGTTTCTTCTCCATCATAAACCCACATTTCTTGTTCTTGAGGCTCAGCAGAGCCAATGTAAGTATCAGGTCGCAATAAGACATGTTCAAGCGGTGTCTTTTTCTGATAAATACGTTCGACAGCCAAGCGGGAGTTACCCCCATCCCCATCAATATAAGCCATTAGAAGAGACAAATTGATGAATTGATTGACAAACTGACAAGAAAAAATGAAAATGAGTACATTTTCCAGACACAATAAACAGGACTTTTTTACTCACATTTCACGCGTTCTTCTGATGTTGGTTTAAGAGTTCCAATGCATTAATGATTTTTACATGATCCTTCAAACTTCGTTGTTGATAATTTACACATATACATGAAAGTAAATGGAAAAAAATTAGCGTACAGAAGCTAGAAGACAATGTTAATTCAATTAACCCTTAAGATTGGAAATTTGATTTCATTTCATCACATTAAAAATTATCAAATGGCTTTAAGTCAAAGAGGAAATTGCGTAACCTATTGTTTGAAGCCTGAATTCAGTTTGATAAGTATTTTTATTAGCATTCACTTATTTCAAGATGAAAGACAGAGAAGTGAAGATCAGATCCCAAATTTTCTATCTAAGGAGGAGCTACTAAGCTTTTACAGATTTCTCATAACAAACCTCTGAATAATAAATTTTATCGCTTGTTAAACTAATGATTTCCCAAATAATGTTACCATTTAAATTATAACGTAATCAATTTTAAGACACAAAGTTTTATGAAATCTAAAACTAATAATACCATTTGTCAATTCAAGTTTCATTATAAAAAAACAACATGCTTTCTAATCGATCCGAATAAAAACATACACTTACAGAATAATTTCAAGATTAATCATCAAGACAATACACAATATAAAAATACTACTATGATTATTGTAAAATTGAAGAATAATAAAAAAACTATAAGCCGCTAAAGCAATTTGAATTGCTAAAAATAAAACAATGTTTGTAAACATTTGACATTTGTTAGATAAGAAGAGGTTGAAAATCTATCAGTTTGTCAAAAAATCCACTTAACCGGCAATCATGTATATGATAATCATTAATTACACCAAATGTAATTGCAAAAATTGACACCGAATTCACATGACAATTTAATCATTCTCTTGTTTTTAATTTTGTACACTCATTCTTTCTTCTCCAGCTTCTTTTCTTCCTCTCTCCCCTTTACAACACATAATTTCAACTTCTCTTTAAAAAGATGAATGATTTAAAAACCTTACTCACCTATTAGAATGTTGACCGTCAAATTTTTTTATTTTATGTTGTCCAACTTATGTTGATTTGTTTACACAATAGAAACACTATTAAGCATAGTAAACAATTTACTTTAAATTAAATGAATGACAATTATAAATGCATTAAACCAAATCTTGAATAGATAATAAACCCTATCGGACTAGTCAGCAACCATTTCAGTTTGACACATTAGCATTAACGCCATCTACTACATGTAACTTAATCTAGTTTTAAGTTAAAAAGCGATCTTGATATTTCGATGGATTTGAAGAATTGAAAAGTTTTTCAGGGAAAGAACAAGACCAAAAATGTTGATCGTTTCAGATCAAACATGTTAAGTCCAAAAACAAATTTCTTTGATAATCTTTTCCGCATAGCTTGCCATATAAACACCTGAATCTCGACAAAGATGACCATCGTGGTTATCAGTATCGAGAGCCTTTCAAATTTTTAGCCTTTAAAAATGACTCTGACAATTGTGAATCCAATTAGTCAGTCACTGATCAATCAGTTCAGATTAAGCCGTTTAAACTGAGCACAAAGATGTAGTTGATCTTAAAATCGAAACTGATCTGAAAGAGAAGCCTTGGGTTGACGGGAAACAAGGTCAAGAGTCAAGGCATCAACGCATTGAAGTGAAAGTAGCTGAAGGTGAAGAAGACAAGAAAATTGTTGTTTGTCTTTCTCGTAATTTTAATCAAAATTGTATTCCTGTCGATGATATGCATTTTGATATAACTGTCAAATCTCTTTTATTCAAGAGATGTTCAAATATGGAATTACTGGACCTTTACTGATAATCAGCCACTGTCAACTATCAGCAATTGGTAACGTACGTTTGAAATTTGTACTGATCTTAACATTAGCAACCATGGAAGTTCAGAACTTGCTGAACGTAAAAATCATGATGCAAAAATTAGATTAAGTTACATTTAGTAGATGGCGGTAATACTAATGTGTCAAACTGAAATGGTTGCTGACTACTCCGTTAGGGTTTATTATCCATTCAAGATTTGGTTTAATACATTGGTAATTGTCATTTATTTAATTTAAAGTATATTGTTTAATTATGCTTAATAGTGTTTCTTTTGTGTAAACAAATCAACATAAGTTGGACAAAATATTGTAATAAATTTGATGGTTTACATTTAAATTGGTAAGTTTGATTTTCAGTTATTCATCTCTTGAGGAGTAGTTGAAAGTGTGTATGTTGTAAAGAGGAGAGAGGAAGAAAAGAAGCTGAAAAAAGTGAAATAAGAAATGAGAAAAATGCAATTTATTGGTTCATAGATTTGTCATCTTATACAAGCTAAGACTCTTTTTTTCATAAGTCACTTTATGGTCTATTCGCTAGTTCAGTTTCTTTCCTAAAATGAATTTTATCTTTTTCTTATCCCCTGTGCTTTCTGGCAAGATACACTGTTTACAAACAAACATTTAGGCGTCCGTGGTTAGTCAATTTTACGTCCACTCACTCATTTAGTGCAAGTATTTTTTCAGCTTTTAATCGGCTATTTAACTCAGCCTAATCGGTAAAATTATGATTGACTAATAATTGTTGAAGATTTATTTGAAGTATTCATTTTTGACTTGATAATCTAAGTGAAACTGAAGTTCCTCATCTTGTTTATCATATGCTCTTTTCTTATCTTATTTTTTCTTCTCTCTTTATGTTCAACCGCTTGCCCGTTCTTATGTCTTATTTTTATTTCTCATATTTGTAGCAATCTTTTGCCTGTAAACTGTAAAAATGACGGATATTTTTTCATGTCAATCCTGTGGATTAGAACAGCGGTATAAGGCTATCCTTCATAAATATGATAAAGTTGTTAAAGAATGTGCTGAACTGCAGCAGTCTTTGGCTAAAGTGCAGAGCCAGCGAGATGAATATATCAAGGAAATTAACCGAGTTATTACTGCACGTCTTAAGGCCACTCAAGATTTATCTCGAATGACTGAAGAAAGAAACTCGGCTATTCAAGAATATAATTTGATCATGTCTGAGCGGGACACAGTGCATAAAGAAATAGAAAAATTGCAAGAGGAACTGGCAGATAATCAAAAGAAATTGAGTACTCTACAAGAGGAGAAGATTGTGAATTTAGAACAAATAGATAGTTTGAAACGTAAAATAACCTCAGTACTGATTGATCGTGATAGACTATCTAAAAAAATTCAAGAAGATCGAGTGAAATATGGAGACTCTGAAGAAGATTCTATCTCACCTCTTCGTTCTCCTTCATCATCTGTTAACAACACCAACTCGGCAAATAATAACAATCACAATTCACATAATCAGTGGGATTCTTCATCTTCCGGTATATCTTCTTCTTGGAAACAAACTAGCATGGCATCTATTGGAAGTCATGGCCAGTCTCATCTTGGCTCTTCCAGACTTGGTTCCATGGAGCAAGTAAATGCGGAGATTGAGCTTCTTCGGCGACAAAATGAGCGTTTACAGCAAGAGTTAATGTACAGTCATAGTGAAATTGAAACGCTCAAAAAAGAACGTGATGATGCTTTAGAATTCAAGGAAAAGGTTTCGCTTGAACGAGAAAGCATGAAAACTCTTTGTGATAGATTAAGAAAAGAACGAGACCGTGTTGTTTGTGACTTAGCTGAAGCTTTACGAGATTCCGATGATATGAGACGACAACTGAATGATGCTCAAAAAGAATTAAGTGAATTAAAAGAGAAAGTAGAAAGTGATAAAGGTTGTGGAAATATATACAAAGATCAAAGTTGTTCATCACTCTCATCTACCCTATCCTCACCAACTCACAATGCTAATCAACAGCAACAAACTTCAACTTCTCCTACACCAACCCTACTTGATAGAGCCTACAATAAAATTTATGGAGATAGAAGATCTCGTAAAACTATTGACGTTTCTTCTGGTCAAGAAGCTCGTGAAACTTTGGCCCTACTAGATAAGGTTCTTGCTGACTATTCAAATCAAATTAAAGTTGCAAAAAAAGCTTTGGATAAATCAAAAAAAGAGAAGGAAAAAAATGGAGGAACGTGGCCGAAATATAAAGGACCACAGATCTTGAGCATTTTAGAAGATGAAAAGCTGAATGGAGGGTCAACCATGAGATCAATAAATCGAAAAGGACGAAAATCTCTTGCTGTGTTCAATCCCATCACCAAACCAAATGATATGTTTCATAATAGTTTGTCACAAAGCAATAATTCTTCTAATGAAATTACTAGCGGTTCAACTGTGTCAAATCGAAATGAATCAAACAATTTTTCTATTTATGATGAAGTAAATGAGCCCCGATCTTCTGCATCTATAAATGATTATCATTCCCATTCCTTAAAAAGCACTCCATCTAATTCATCTACACCGATTCCTGTCGGCAGTATCCTCTCACCTTCAGAGCAAATCTCATCAACTGATCTCCATCCAGAAACAGTTAATCGCCTTGATAGTTATGTTTCACCTCGAGAATCTAATTTCTATAGATCAAGAGGTAAAGCTGAATCTATTGACTACTCTGTAGTTTCTGCTCAAATCCAGCAACATCAAGAAAGAAAAATTGGTGACAGTAATTACCGTCGAGTCAATAATAGCGCTAAACTGAGACCCCATTCGGTTCATGATGTTCTCTCAAATGCCTTTGGTCGTACCACTTTATCCCTCGAAAATCCAACACCATCCTCATCTTCAGATCACCCACATCATCATCAACAGCAATCCTCTCATGATTCATATAGACTTCCACCATCTAAACCATCTCTACCCATATCTCCAAATCGAACATCCGGGGAATCTCTTGGCATCTTCCGTGTTGCTCAACCATTTAATAAACGGACAATTTACACCAACCCCACTCATCCTTTACCAGCGTCGTTGCCTTCATCATCATCATCATCATATCATAACTCACAAAACATATCTTCTTTAACGCGTTCTAATCATTCAACTCACCAACCATCATTACCACGTCGTTCGCCAAACTCACCGCATTCTCCTACTTATTCTCATCCACTTAGAAAAAGTGAACCCGGAGCCAATTCTAATTTGGATAATCATATTTATGATCTGCCTACAACAACCCATTCTTCTACCGCATCTTCTATTACTACCACCAATAACAACGTTAATAATACTGTGCGACCCATGAGCCTTTACCAACCTAATATCCCTAAATTAACAGTCAAAGACAGTCATGAAACTTCTCATTACTCCAATACATCTCCAACTCTTTCACTATCCAGTTGTCTGAAATCAGATTATTCTGGTTTAATCAATGTACCCAGAACTTCTCACCATTATGTTCAAGCATCACTTCATTTACCTCAAACCAGTATGGATGCCGGAATTGGATATAAAAGTGACGAGAATGAGAGTGATTTCATTTCTTCTTACGACGGATTATCAACTTTTCCTAAAAGAAGTGCTCGCATCCGAATTCCCTCTAATCCAAGTGTAACTTCTATTTGTTCTAGTGGTAAACTTTCAACCGGCTCGATCGACAAAGTTTCTTCATCTGCTCATTCTGATCGAGGTAGTCCTCTTTCTTTCAATGTTGAGTGGTTAAGCTCAGGCAGACGTTATCGAAATGCGAACAATCTAGAACCCAGACCCAGTGATATTCGCCATATCGAGATTATGCGAAGCTCAGGTCCTTTGGGTATAAATATTAGTTCAGTACCTGCTGGTGTTTTTGTTACAACTGTTGCAAAAGAAAGCCTTGCTCATCAAGCAGGAATTCAAATTGGTGATCAAATATTGGAAATTTGTGGTATCAATATGCGAAATGCTGTTTACGACCATGCAGCGAATATTCTTCGTCAATGTGGCGAGAGACTTAACCTTTTAGTGCAATATAACCCTAACAAACTAGTAACTAACAAACAGTTCACACTGAGTCAATCCCCTATTTCGGGTCATGCCAATCAGTCTTGAAATATAGGTTGAATGCAAAACATTGAATTGCAGCTAAAACTGATGTCTATTTGAATTAAATTATAATTAGTATTAGTATTATAATTTCACGTAATGTCATGTACACATGAATAAGGTGATATTTTCTTAAATATTCATTTTGTTATATCAAACTTAAAAGCATGTGAATGCAAACGCAAGGTAACTATTCAATTTTTTGTCCTAAATTTTTATTAACCTTATTACACTGAATTTTCATGACTTTTTTTTCTCTTCAGGAGATTAATTTAAACTTCAACACGACAAAACATACGGATGGTACTGGTTTGAATCTTTAAGAATCAGATCTTCATTGAGAGCATTGAAGATACTTCTTTGCCCAAATCAAAATCTTCCGGAAAGAAAAAGAGTCCAAGTAGAGCAAAACCAAAATTGAAAGATGATTCTGGTAAAAGTAAAAAGAAATTACCCAAATTGGCGCTTAAATTTGGTAAATCAAAGAAAAGAAAGCGACTTGGATCTTCAGATGCATCAGACATTGAAAAGACACCACCACCGTCTCCAGAAGATCCTGACAGTGCAGCATTAAAACGTAGAAGTGCTCGTAATACTAAACGACAAAAGTATACGGATGATATTGATTTAGACCTTTCAGCTGATGATGCAGACCCATTGGAAGCTGCTAAGCTAGATGGATCAATAGGACCAAGTGACAAGAAAATTATTGATATTAATGTTCAAGTGACCAAAATCAGTGAAGATACAATGGTTGTTGAGAAGATTATGAGCTCCCGAATGGGTGAACTTGGGCCAGAAGGTGAAGAAATGAATGGATTACAAATCATTCAAACAAATTTGAATTTGAAATCCTGGTGAACGTCATACTAAAATTATCTGTAAACACCGTTTGGCAATAGATCTGATATTGAGATGGAACTCAATAATTGAATGAATGCGAAGATTCAAACTTCATGTTGTTAAATCTGTTGTGAAAATGATTGGATAACGCCAAGTCGTTATCATCAAAAGACTCAATCAAAATTTGGAACTTTACATCAAGATGCAAATAGTAATATACTATCATTATTTGGTAGGTTTTTGTGTTGAAAAAGATAACATAAAAAAATATTTATGTTTGAATTTTCAAATTGTTTTAATTTGAAATTGTCACTATGACAGTATGCAATCAAATAAAAGTTTAGTAAATAAAAAACACAATTCAAAACTTTTATCAAAATTATTTTTTATTGCTCTCGCTAGTTGATTAATAAAAATTAGTAGCACACATCACGGATCGAGCGATTTTTTCAATTTATCTACAATGCTCTTGATTGAGCCATCGGCATCAAAAGTTTGAGACTCCCAGCCAACCAATTTTCTTGATTGGAAAGGTGGTAAAGTTTTAACTACTCCAGCTGTTCGAAGGATAGTCGCTGAAAATAATATCAAGTTGAGTAATGTTAAAGGTACTGGTAGAGATGGTGGTATTTTTAAAGAAGATTTACTCAGATATCTTGAATATGCGAAAAATTCTATGGCATCGCAGAAGGAAACTCCAGTTCTCAATATTTCACTTGAGCCCAAGACATTACCAATTAACTTGAACGAAAAACCATCTGTTGATAGATTGACTAGTCAAGCTTCTGATAAGAGTGTTCCATTCAACGCAATTCAACGTTCATAAAATTGAATTTCATGCCTCTATTCATAAAAGCTTTGTCATTAGCTCTCAATGTTTTTCCAATGTTCTTACCATGTATCTTATAGACCAACGAAAACAAAGAGCTCGATTATTTGAAGTAATACATTTGTCAATAAAAAGACACAATTGTAACATTTATAAACAAATTGAATGAACAAAGTAACCCAAATGGGTTTAAACGGGTAAAAATAGGTTTTCTTCAATTTTAATTTTGTTAGTTTGTAGAGGAATGCAAACTGAATCCGCTCAGTTTTCGAGGAAATCGAAGTCAAAGTTGAAACTTCGATCGCCTTTTATGCAATTATGGAAGCAGATTTTTCCACGAAATTTCTTTGCACTCATTAAGCTTTTGATACGAAACCAGAAAATTCACTAATTTCGAGAAATAAAGTTTTCGGTTTTCAACTAAACCTGTCGCATTCTGTGACCGTAACAATTAGACAGCCCAAATTTAGTTTCGTCGATAAAAATTAATAGCAAACATCATCAATCGAACACTTACCGCATTCTTTCTACAGTTCTCTTGATTTTGGTCATTGGCCGGAAAACTTTGAACATCGACATTTCGTGATTGGCATCACCAAGAGTCATCATTCTTTGATCAAACATTAAATTTTATCATGAGCTGTTACTTTTAAAAAAGTTAAATGGTTTCTCAAGCCCAAATTCAACCTAAAACTAAATCTTGTAATGTGTTAGCTGAAAATTGTTAATTAAATGAGTTAGGACAGATTTTCTACGACATGCAGTCATATTATGTTATATCCCAGAATGAATCTAATTTTTGATCGAAGAGTTAAGATTCTAGGCGATGCCAATCACGAAATATCGATGTTCAAAGTTTTCCGATCAATGACCAATATCATGAGAACTGTGGAAAGACTGCGAAATGTGTTCAATTTATGGTGTTTGCTATTAATTTTTATCGACAAATACTAAGTTTGGGCTGTCTAATTTTTACGGTCACAAAATGCGACAGGTTTAACAGAAAACAGAAAAGTAAAAATACACAATTAGAAATGCGAAGAATGTTTGTTAATTAATCAAATGAAGATCGGGAAAAACTTTTTATGACATTTGTCTCTATTCAATCTAAATACAAAAGTGACCCAATGTGTGTTGAAGTTCTTACTCTGTACCTAATAGACTAACGAAAACAACCAGTTCAATTATTTGATTGAATAGATTTGTTAATAAAAAGACACAATTGTAACATTTATAAACAAATTGTACAAAGTATTAATCCAAATGCGTTTAAACGGGTGAAAATAGATTTTCTTCAAATTTGGATTTTGTAGGTTTGTAGAGGAATGCATACTGAGTCCATTTATGCCATTGTAAGATTTCTCTGAGCCACGGTTGTAGAGGAAATCGAAGTCAAAGTTGAAACTTCGATCGCCTTTTATGCAATTATGGAAGCAGATTTTTCAGTCAAACTTCTTTACACTCATAGAGCTTTTGATGCTCAACCAGAAAATGTACTAATTTTGAGAAATAAAGTTTTAAGTTTTTTGTGAAGCGGATCATTTCGATTTTCAGTTAAACCTGTCGCATTTTGTGACCGTAACAATTAGCCAGCCCAAACTTAGTATTTGTCGATAAAAAGTAATACCAAACATCAACAATCGAACTTTTATCACAATTTCTCAACAGTTATCTTGATATTGGCCATTAGCATGCGAACTTTGACCATCGATATTTCGTGAACAGCGTCACCTAGAACCAACATTCATTGACCAAACATTAGGTTTTATTATGGGCTGTTACTGTATAAATTTTAGATGGCATAAATAAGTTATAATATACGTTTAGTTTTGAAGTTGCATTTGAGACCTGAATTATAAAGTTAAATGTTCTCTCAAACCCAAACTGACACAGATTGGCAGAAATGGACAAAAATCTAGATTTTTACCTCTGGTGACTTGTAGGCCAATGCAAACTGTGTCCATATGTACGATTGAAAAATTTCCTTGATTCAGAGTTTTCTAGAAAATCGAGTTCGAAGTTCGTACTTCGATCGCCTTTTATGCAATTATGAAAGCAGATTTTTTCATAAAACTTTATCGTACATATGTAGTTTTTGATGGTTAATCAGAAAATGCACTTGTTTTAAGAAATAGAGTTTTCTTTTTCTCAATAATAGATCAAGTTCGATTCCCAGTTAAACCTGTCGCATTTTGTGATCGTAACAATTAGAAAGCTGAAACTTAATATTCATTAATAAAAATTGATGTTACACACTAAAATTTGAACGATTCTTCTGATTTCTCTACAGTTTTCGAGATTCTGACCATTGGTTTGATAACTTTAACCATCTATATTTCGAAAATGGCATCACCTACAATCTCCATTCTTTGGTCAAACATTAGATTTCTTATTGGTCATGCCATAAATGACATAATATCCAAGAAAATTCATTTGATTCATTTAATGAACAATGTTCAGCTAACACATCATAAGATTTAGGTTTGATTTAGTTTTAGGTTGAATTTGGGTTTGAGAAACCATTTAGTTTTACTAACATTTGCAATAAATAAAATCTCAAATGCAACATCTAAAACTAAACTAATATCATAACTTATTTGTGTGATCTAAAATTAATAAATTAACAGTCCACAATAAAACCTAATGTTTGGTGAAGAAATGTTGGTTCTAGGTGACGCTGTTCACGAAATATCGATATTCAAAGTTCGCAGTCTAATGGTCAATATCGAGATACCTGTTGAGAAGTTGTGGTAAGTGTTCAATTCATGGTGTTTGTTATTACTTTTTATCGACAAATACTAAGTTACAGCTTTCTAATTGTTACGATCACAAAATACGACAGGTTTAACTGAGAATCGAACTTGATCGATTATGCAGAAAAAGAAAATTTTAGTTCTTAAAACAAGTACATTTTCTGATTGGCCATCAAAAACTACATGAGTGCAATGAAGTTTTATGAAAAAATCTGCTTCCGTAACTGCATAAAAGGCGATCGAAGTTATAACTTCGAACTCGATTTTCAGGAAAACTATGAATCAAGGAAATTTTTCAATCGTACATATGGACACAGTTTGCATTGGCCTACAAGTCACCAGAGGCGAAAATCTAGATTTCTGTCCATTTCTGCCAATCTGTGTCAGTTTGGGTTTGAGAAAACATTTAACTTTATAATTTAGGTCTCAAATGTAACTTCAAAACTAGTCCAATATTATAACTTATTTGTGTGATCTAAAATTTATACAGTAACAGTGCATAATAAAACCTAATGATTGGTCGAGGAATGTTTGTTCTAGGTGACGCTGTTCATATAATATCGATGTTCAAAGTTCGCAGTCTAATGGTCAATATCAAGATAACTGTTGCGAAATTGTGGTGAGTGTTCGATTCATGGTGTTTGTTATTACTTTTTATCGACAAATACTAAGTTTGGGCTGTCTAATTTTTACGGTCATAAAATGCGACAGGTTTAACTGAAAACCGAAATGATCTGCTTTACAGAAAATAGAAAACTTCATTTCTCTAAATTAGTACATTTTCAGGTTAAGCATCAAAAGCTTAATGAGTGCAAAGTAGTTTCGTGGAAAAATCAATTTCGAAATTTCACAGAAGTGGAAAGCCTTAATGGCTTTTATAAGGGCATATAAGCTGAGTTCAATTAGTAAAATCAAAAAAATTTGATCGAAAGTTTTGGTAAAATCTCGTTAAAGTTCGGATTTCAATAGCGTTTAGCATATCGATAGAACTAGTTTTTTCTTACAAAACTGATTTCTCATTTACTTTTAATCACAATCAGGGTTAGGTACAACTAAACAAATGAACTTAATTTAGTAGGAAATAGAAGCCATTATTCAACAACAG